TTGTAAATTATTCCTCTTCTTAGCGTTCTTGAGAAAGAAGAATGTTGTAGTGAATCGAATAAATAATGCAAATACTCGTTTACTAAAAATAAATACACAATTTATGTAAATTTTGGTCTAGAATTATAGTCTTAAACTGGTAAGAGTCTTGTGTGCTATTACTTTTGAAAAATGAAGAATTTTAAAAGCAAGCATGCACTTAGTTAAGTTTAGAACATATTTTTTAAGTAGAAATAAATTACATGATTACATAGGCAAACATAGACGACGAGTCAAGTTACTTTGAGTTTATTACTCAGAAGAATTTTACATTACATTACCACTTTATGAAACTTTTCATATTATTCTATTCTAATTATATTGTTTGGAGTGCAGTAAATAGAATTAATAATAAAATAGTTCCGAAGATAATTTGTGTGCATTATTATTCAGATAAGTTTTATTGCAGCAGTAAAGCATTAGCAATTATTATTAATATAAAAGTAGTGATTAATTTTTTGAGTGTTTACCTTTGGAAGGAAAATTTCTCTTCACAAATGTTTATTTGTTCAATAAATAATATGAGCTGTTTTGTTTCATTTTTGTGCAGCGAAAACATTTATGATTGCATTCTGTTTCTTTTCAATTAATGCTCAAAAAAGTTGTGACATTACACGCATTTTTAGAGTTAATGCGTACATGCAATGTGATAATAAATTTAAAAAGAATCAAACATTGCGATACTGAAATGAACATTAATCATAACTTTCACTTTGCTTTCATTGAGAACTGAAAGGAAATAGACCAGAAAGTTTGAATTTCTCATTTTGATGCTACTATTCTGCGCATCAGAGCAATTTACAAACATACTTTGAATGGTATTAGCAAATGGTGGCATTCCATTTCATTGTCGGATTAACAAGTCAGAACTGGTTTTCTGTCTATTTTCAGTTCATTAGTTTATTTATTTTTCACTTTTATTTATTATTTGCGTGAATATACGTATATATGAATATATAGGTAAGGATAAATCTAGTAAAAGTCAAAACTTATCTGTTGAAATGTATGATAAATTACTTCCAGTACGTCAGTTTAATTTTATTAACACACTAAGACATAATTTTTTATTCAAAATGTTGATGGAGGAGGAATACATGTGAATAGATATTTCAGGTAAAGTTTGATTATGGCGCAAAGTGAATCAGTTCAATCTAATGTTATTAATTTTTAAAAAAGGCATCAAAGTGCCAGTTTCTGTAGCTTGAAATTATCATGAGACATAAAAACTTACTGACTTATTGGCATAAATATTTATATCATTATTTAATATTTGTTTTTTAATTAGTTAGAATGAATCTTTGATTGGCTTTGTTTTAAGAATAATTCAGTCCTTTTGCTTCATAAATTGGAAATTAATATTGAAGCATTTATTATTGGTAGTTGAGAAATGAGTTGATAAAAATTAATAAATCGTTTTTAAATATGCAATTTATTGCTGGAATAAATGACTCAGATTATGCATTTATTGGTTTTTAAATTCTCTGTAACTTTTGATATAATTAATATTAATAATTATTAACGAAACTGATTTATTTGACAATAAATATAAATGAATTTAATAAATAGTCTTCAAATTGTTACTTATTAAAAATGACTGAAGTGAGAAGTAGTCGTCTTTTATTTTATTCCTTTTTTAAGCTTTGCTATGTGTTTGTGTGGCACAAAAAGTGTGGATGTTTTTGTCTGTTTGTGTGAAATATTGGCCAACAAACAAGCATGTATTCAAAACAAAACGAAACTGAAATTGTTTTCAGTAAATGTTGACTTTTTAAAGTAAAGCATATTTGCAGCATTATTGAAAATGCATTGCAGAAGCAGAAACTTGTCAAAAGGTATCATCTGAACGTCATTTTGTTATTATTTCAAGACCACTGCATTATAGCATAGCCTAAGCCTTAGCATCTCAGTGGTGTTAATAACAAAAAAATTAATTAAAACTTTAATAACATTAAATGCTTTTTAGTAAATGACTACAATCAAGCTTGTAATCATTTTTTTGACTTAAACTTTTTTTTTGCAAAATTTTACGACTATTTCAGTCAGAAGTTATAATTAATAGCTTAGATTTTCTTTTAATGTGCTTGTTATGATCGTTAAATGCTAATATTTTAGCCTTATAGAGTAAAAATACTCTTCCTTACCTCAAAACTATAAAATCAAGCATAATTTTATTGCAATTATATATTGAATTACTGCTTACGCTAGAAATTTTCTCTCCTCATTTGGCTGCCAAATAATTTTTCCTGATGTGAAATGTCACGATTTGGTAAAATTAATTAATTTTGCTTGTTAAAATTTGACATGAACAAATTTGTTACGCGAAATTTCTCAGAAAAATGTTGTCTTCTTCACTGCTTATCGGTTTACTCAAGTTGTTTAGTCGATATGCAAATTACTGACTCGATAACTTGACAAAATGGCTAATGTGCATTTGTGTATTGCAAATTTAATTTTCTTCTTTCTTTCCATTTTCAGGCATGTGAAATTTTGTAAATTAATGAATATTTCAAGTTTTTTGTATGAAATTTGTTATTTGTAAATTAAATTTTCTTTTCAATTGTAATTTTCGAACATTTGAAAAATTACAAATTATCAAATGTTTGAAGTTTTTTTTAAGCATATATTTTTTATCGATATGTATTCTTTAGTGGACACACCTTGTCTCCTTCCTAATAATCATTCTTTTGCTGCTATTACTTTAGTAGGCATAGTATTCAGATTATTATTATTGTTATTATTATTATCATTATCATTATTATTATTACTTTATTTGGCGAGTGAGATTGTTATTACTGTTTGTGTTGTAAATGTGTATTTTGAATATTTTATTAAATGCAGTTGAAATGAAGAGTTAGCTGTAGAGAGTAGGTACCAAAAAATGAAAGGTTGAGAACAAGTTTTGAGTCGGATTAAGTCTAATAATGTATTGTTATTGGTGATAATTGAGGTGTAAAGTGTTTGGTCACCGAAGAATAATTATTTTCACTTGATTATATCTTAATGTCAGCTGTTTTGCTGGAGTGAAATGCATTCTATCAGCTATTTGTTCGTTATTTTTCCCTCTCATGATAACTGTGTAAATTTTTCATTCATCGATGCAGATTTTTTTCAGACTTTTCATTTTTTAAATACAGATTTTATCCACTTTTCCTCCTTATTAGCCTTGTAACCTACTAAATATCGGTTGTTTCTTACTGCCTTTTAATTATCATCTATTTTTTTCATATATTTATTCAAGTTTTGCTAATTAGCCATTATCAGATTGAGTTGCAAAAGTAAAACCTTTTAATCATTTATTTCTTCTTATCAATCAACTATTTTGTGTTTGTATATTTTAGTTTTTATTTTTAAAGCAATTATCAGTAATGTTTGCAGTAGCACAATTATTGGTATAATTTAAACTTTTTCACAAAGATTTTTGATTCTATTGTTTGAGTAAAATGAGTAAATTTCATATAATAACTTATCAGTCGACTTTTCTTATCAACTTGAAATCTGCTCTTCATACATCATTTGCTTAATTGACACTTGAAATTGTCGTGTATTAGAGGGAGAGTGAGATATTAAAGTTGACATTGATCTGCGTACGTCTGCTTGATGGATTTCTTAAGAGAGTGATTTGAAAATAGTGATTAACAAGAGAATGAATATATGTTGGGTTAATGATAATAGAAGACATTGGAGATGATTACTTCTGCATCACGTATTGGACATGATGAAGTATCAGGAATTCAGTGAGAGTGAGGGAAGAAGGAATTGGAATGCAGTAAATAAAATTTAGTTTTAGTATTTATCCTTCGATAATGTTGAAATCAATGAATACTTACTTACTTGTTCTGACTGAGTTTACTTCCTTAAAAGTTAAATTAGTCTACGGCACTTGCCACACTTTCAGTATGTATATTCTGCTGGACTTAGACTAAAATAAAGTAAAGTAATTACTGCCACTGCTAGTTTCTTTGTAACACTGGCATCAGCTTGAAGTGGAAAGAAGTGTATTTCAGTTTGTTAGCAAAATTAAATGCTTTAGTTATTGTAGTAGTGTTATGGGAAAAGTTAACATGGACTTACTCTCAAGCATAGCAAGAATTAAATGTCAAAGGGATTGGTAGATAGTAGATAGTAGATAACGACAAGAATAATCATTCTAGGGTCAAATTGATATTTTTGACCTCTTCAGTTGTCATTCAGCAAGTTGTTATGACTCAGAGCAAAATTATTTATATTTTCCTACGCATCAATACTTCTGTATTTGTCTTGATCTTTTTCTTGACCTTTTTTGGCTACTTCATGATAAAGTTTAAGTCACGTAGTGTGTATACTACACAATAATAATTGTTATTGTGCAACTCAGTGCACTATTTGTTTATCTAACGTTGATAGTTCGTCCATTGTTTATTAATGCAGTCTGCATTTGTGTATCCTAAATTTGAAATCTTTTCCATAAAGACAAGTATTGTTTTGAGACATATAAATAATCATATTTATTTGCTCCTTTAATAGCAAAAGATTTAAAATTTAGTCTACGGTACTTTTGATTGAATAATACATGCATACATTCACTCAAACATCTATTCATTTTTTTATTTTGATTTGATTTGATTTGATTTGATTTGTTTTGAATTGAATTGAATTGAATTGAATTGAATTGAATTGAACTGAATTGGTTATATATTATTAGCATGCACTAATTTTTGGTAAAATAATTGTAGTTAAAAAGTTAAGTTTTGATTTGAATATATAATTAGTATTTTTCCAATTGCATCAATTCTTTAGGTGCTCACAAATAGATTGATAAATGGAATTAAATAGCAGTTGGTGTTAAGAACGATCAGTAAAAGTGTCTGCCTGTTGTGCCTCACAACTTTTTGCTACCATTGGTAGATGAACTTGACGACGAGTTCAGCGTAGCATTCCTATTACATTGCTGGAATTTCGTTTGTATCTAAACAACTGACAGTATGTTTGCGTGCAAACGTAATTGTGTCATAAATAAATACTACTCAAGCATTAACTGTGAAAATTTGAATACAACGAGAGATACTGAGGAAGGCGATGAATCTGTGTGAGTTGTCAATTATTTTTTAGCATTTTCTTGATTAGTTAATATTCTAAATTACTAAATTAGTAATTGAGAATGTATTCTAAACTATTCTGTACTTTCTTAAAAATAATCATAATCAAAAGCAATTAATTAAAGAGTTAATTAAATTGAATTTTAGTTTGTGTTTATGGCATTCAAAGATTGCATATTTCAGAAATGATGATGCTTCAAGCAGTTGTATGACAGGAGATGAATTGATGTGTTGTACACATGGATTTATTGCAAAGCCTTTATCAAATCATCAGAAACATGTTGTTTCTACCTCTGATCATGTCTTCTTAAATGATCAAATACATGTGAAGAAATCTTCAAAGTGCCAATATTATTCAAATGTTTGCAAACTATTTACATCATCATCGTCATCATCATCATCATCATCTACATTCCATAATCGTTCTTTAGCACTGTTTCTTTTAGCATTTTCTGTATTATCATTGTCAGAGTTCACATTAGCTGAGAAAAATTTGCGAGAAGTGAAGAATGGAATCAGACTTGAGTGTTGTAGCGAGAATAACAGCGATGTCAGTAAATTTGTTTATATTCAACAATCAACACCTTCATCATTAATATCATCATTATCATTTACACCTACCGCAACGACATCATTACGTAAAGTTTACACCAATCAATTTGCGGTACGAATTAAAGGTGGAGATATAGTAGAAGCGAATAAACTAGCGGCAAAGCATGGCTTCATCAACCTTGGCCCGGTTTGTATCGTACTCTCAATTGGCAATAATAATTTCAGATTTTAAGTTAAAGGCTTTTCATTTGTGTTCTTTATTTTCTGCATTACCGCAAGGAAGCATATTTATGAGATAGATATGTTTTCTATCATAAGATGCTGTTTACTTACATGATAAAATTGAATTTTATCGGTAATTTATTAAAAAATATGTAAAATCTGAGTTGTTTGGTACTTGCAGTTACCATAAATTGGTTCTAATACATTTAATTATGTGCTGTTTACGATGCTAATGATGTCTTCTGCATCAATGCTTTAAAGTCTTAGCAAGCAAAACCGCAATTTGTACTGACTTCATTGCATAATATAGCTAGAAAATAATTTTGATATAAAACTATAAATGGTTTTCACTATTACATTTAAGTATTTTAGCAGAAATTCAGAAGTGTAGGATTACTTTAATGGAGTAATTTTCTTGATATTCACTTTATCTTCTTAGGAAGCAAACACTTTTTTGTTGCAAATTAAAATTTATCATAGACAGGACAGATATAGTAGTAGTGAAAAAGGTCTATATGTTTATTTACTTGTTTCTTTATTTGTTTATTTATACTTTAATATATTAATATTTATTTGTTACTGATTAAAACTGATAAGGTTCATATATTTGTATATGTATTTTTTCTTCACCAAATATGCAAGTTATTTTAGGTTTTGCCGAATGACGAGTATTTTCTCTTCGAGAGTCGACAAACAAAGAAACGATCTACTCGACGAAGAAGAAATGCTCAAACAACTTCTATAGCGCGAGAACCGAATGTAAGATTTGCATATTCTGTCAAGTTCTGTTATGCATATAATTAGCTAACATTAATATAGTTTCGTGCACCTTTTTCTTCCAGTAACAAGCTTTCTTTCAAATTATGACTGTGTGAAAAAGAATTTCGTACCTTTTTGGATTGTTTTATAATTTTAAAAAATGCCTCTCAATCACAGTTTCAAAAAAGGTATGTTCCTTGAGCATGCACATGAGAGATGAAAGTATATTTTTTGAATCTCATATCAGATATGAATAATATGCCCCTATTGTTTTGATCAAGAGTGCTGATAACAAAAAAAATTGTGACCAGTAATTGCAGTGCTAGAAAAAGCGCTTCCAGAAATGTTCTCATATTGGTGCTTTTTTTGATAGCAGCAGAACTTATATATATTTACTACATAACTGTAAAAATAATGGATGGTTTTGTTTTGTATGAAATGGATAAGTTATTTTCTTAATTAATGGTGCCAGGTAGTCAACACCAAAGTACCGCGAAAAGATTTAATTTTTTTGCATAAATTCTTAATCTTAGGTGCCAACGAATGGTACTGAATTGTTGATGAAAATGTGCAAATTTAAACTACTTTTTAGTTTTATTTTAGAACACTGCTAATGAACTCTTAATTATTGGGTTTTTTTCGAAGTTGGAATAGCAGAATGGAAGTGTTTCTAATATTTTTGGACCGAATAAGCAAAATAATGTTTACTTAATGCACCTTCAAAAAAAGTAAAAAAATAAATTAATCAAATCCCTCATCTCTCATGTCTATTACGCAATGGAAAATGTTGACTAAATACGTAGAACGTGGAAAAGTATGTGTGACTACAAAAGTATTTCGGTCTCTAAAAATTCCTTATTTGTATTTAAAATAATTTATTTTTTCTTAAAACATGATATTCGACCACAAATGTGACGTGATGTTCCAATTTAATTGTTAGAGATATGTATTTCTTAGGCATGTGATTTTGTCTAAGATTTAGAAGCAAATTATTCACCGCATACAGAAATCAATTAATAACTATTTTTTTAACGCTGAACTTAATTTGTGAGAATTGTCAGTATGAATAACCAATTAACTGTAGAAGTAATGAATGCATGTGTGAGCCAGATGTGCTTTTTACTAATGTTAATTACTCCATCCAGCTTGATTGGATATGAGTTATCATAATATTAGCTGTAATTTCATATGAATTGAGAAAAAAACAATATACACAAGTGGAATTCAGAATTGTTTGCGGACTTGTTGAAATTTCTAGCGGGTATGATCAAATTCAAAAAGTATTACAAAAGTATCTCCACTAAAATCCAATTTATTGTTCAAAAAGTTTACTCTATCACATAGCTTCATATCATTTTTTAAATTCTTTTATGAACTACCAAATATTTTAAATGTTTTATAGAGTGGTAGTTTATATTTCAGGTTGAATGGATAGAACAGCAAGTAGCCAAAAAACGGGTAAAACGTGACTATCTATCATTTAATACTCGATCACCTAATATTCACTTACAGCGATTTAAAGTTAGCACTTACTGTTTGCTTTCTCTTTATTGGCCTTTTTTTGAATTTCTCATTCAGATGTTCAGTTTTTGTGTAAAAGTCGGAGAACTGAGGATATGTCATGTGTTACTGAATGAGAGTTGTTAGTAAAACATAAATGTAATTCATTCAGATTAGAAGAATTTGCTGTTATTTCATCAGAAGCACTCTGAATTGCTTTGATATAATCCATAATGAATTAAGTTGAGTTAGTAATCACATAGAACAGCATCACATTTGTGGATGGATATTTTTGAATTAGAAAATAATGCGAAGAATTTTTTTACTACTTTTTCCTCACAATTGTTCAATACTTTACTGCATGTTTCTTTAGCTTTAATTCTCCTCAAAATGTATTAATGTTAAAGCTAAAAATGTAGTAATAGAAAGATATACGACTGCTACATATTTGAAAACACACAATTCAGAAATCTTAAAATATTGTTAAATCAAGTATTTAACTGATCAAAATTGAGGGCAATGAATTAAGTGACGATCTCACGATAGTAACAGGTAGTGGTATTCAGCAGAAGTACTCCAATAGTCGCAATCGAAACAGTGAAGCATTTAAAAATTATGATTTGAACGATCCTCTCTGGACAGATATGTGGTATTTGGTTAGTTTAACAATGGTGTATTCAGCTTTTTTGTATATTGAAGTACTGATAATTGGCAGTGTTGAAAAGTGAAGTAAATTATAGAATCGTGCAGTTTATGATCGGGGATTGGATCACAATGTTCGAGAAGCTTGGGATCTAGGTTATACCGGAAAAGGTGTAGTTGTGACAATATTAGACGATGGCCTGGAGCGTACTCATCCAGATATTGCACCAAATTATGTAAAGTTTGTTGAGACATTTACACTTGATGTTTTTTTCTTCTCTTTATTTATCAACGTATAACTTCCAGGATGCTAGAGCTAGCTATGATGTGAATGATCGTGATGAAGATCCAACTCCACGATATGATTATACTGATGAAAATAGACATGGAACACGATGCGCAGGGGAAGTAGCTGCTATTTTTAATAATTCATTGTGTATTGTTGGTATCGCTTACAATGCTCGTATTGGTGGTATCTTTTTTTCCTTTTTACTTGTGTAAAGAAAATTAAAGAATCTTTTTCCAAGTATAAAATTAAGTACTGCATAATTTGATTTTTATAGATTTTTTAATTGTTCTATTTAAAGCGTTGAGACAGGACTTAGAAGCATATTTTTGATTAGTTATAAGATTGTTTGACAAGGAATTGTATTTTGGAAATTATTACAGGAATCAGAATGTTAGATGGTGATGTAACAGATGCAGTTGAAGCAACGAGTCTTGCTCATAATTCTGATCATATAGACATTTATTCGGCAAGTTGGGGACCGGATGATGACGGCAGAACAGTGGATGGGCCAGCAAAACTAACAAGAAGAGCATTCGAGAAAGGTATTCGTGAGGTTAGTGATACAATTTTGATAACAGAATAGTAGACTTATGAAATTTATATTTCGAAGCAATAATTTGACCTCAACGTGATGTATTTGATTTTCATGCAAATTTAAATTAATTCTTTGTCGATTGGTGAAGATATGTAAACTGTAGAAAGTTCGGTCTTATTATTTTGGATAAACTGTGAAAGAACAAAAAGATATGCGATCAAGCAAATACTCTTTTAGGGTCGTCGTGGGTTAGGTTCGATATTTGTATGGGCTAGTGGAAATGGTGGTAAAGATGCGGATTCTTGTAATTGTGACGGGTATACAAATAGCATCTATACACTATCCATTTCTTCCGCAACAGAGCACGGCAATATCCCATGGTATTCAGAAGCTTGCAGTTCAACACTTGCTACTGCTTATAGTAGCGGAGCTACGGGTGAAAAAATGATTGTAAGCTTGTTAGAATTTTTTTTGAATAAAATTAGATTTTTAAAAATAGAATGCTTTAACTAAGCTGTCGAATTAACATTACTAATATTTATTTATTTTTCGTATTTTACATTCTGTTTTGATCATTTTAGCAAAGTATGATTGTGTTTGGTATAAGAAATTCAGTGTAAGTTTCGCATTTTGCTTTATTTTATTTGAGCTTAAAAATTGCTGAAAATAAAATTGGTAGCAATTGTTCAAAGAATAATTGAAGTCTTTGTCGTACATTTTCATTATTGGAAATTAAAGAATTATTTGGTGAAGGAATAATTTATTGCATAATATTGGTCCTGAAAATAATAAAACTTGTAAGTTCTATATTTGTTATGTAAATATTTGCATGTATGACAAAATTTTTTTTTATTTCACTAAAAATGTTATCACAAATGTCAAAGTCTGATATGCTAAATTTTTGGTGCTGATTAGGTAACAACAGATTTGCATCATTCTTGCACTAATGCACATACGGGTACATCGGCAAGTGCACCATTAGCAGCTGGCATTGTTGCGCTCACATTGGAAGCAAATCCAAATCTAACGTGGCGAGACATGCAAGTGAGAATTACCTCTTAGTACTAGTATTATTAGTCAGAGATTCTTACAGCAAAATCATTGTATTGTTGCATAAATGATAAGAATGATATCAATCAGTATGTGTTGTGCATATATATATAGATTGATAATAAAACTTAGTACTAGTTACATAATTTTGTAGTTTTTTTGATAATATTAAATGGCATTTGTAGCATATTGTTGTTCGCACTGCTCGACCACTGAATCTTCGCGCTGGTGATTGGGTGACAAATGGAATCGGAAAGAAAGTATCGCATTCATTTGGCTTTGGTTTAATGGATGCCGGTGCAATGGTTCGGTTAGCGAAAAATTGGACCACAGTGCCTGAACAAAAAAAATGCGTTGTATTTTATCCCGCCAGATATAAGTTAATACTTGTTTACTTGATACTTTTTTCGAAAAAAAATTTGATAAATAGATAATTTTTGACTGATTGATTGTGTTAATAAAGATAATGGTATAATTTGTCGAATTTTCGCAAGTGAAATTATATCAAAGCAAACACAATTACGAATTTTGCAAACATTTTTTATTAAAATTAGACACAACAGTCAGTTGGTAGTTGTTTTAATATATCGATTCGCCGTTATTTATTTTAATTATTGCTGAAAAAATTAGAGATTGTTTGTCTATCGGTAAAAGTACTATCTATTTCCAGCATATGTGTTAAAGTTAATACTTGTTTACTTGAGGTTAATTTGAAACTTTGCTGCTTGCGTTTTCAGAACAATTCCACATGGGAATCGGCTGCAGTTACAGCTTTACACAGATGGATGTGCAAGTGACCCTCGCAGTAAAGTATCGCATCTGGAACACGTCCAGTCTATTATTACTTTAACCGCACCAAAACGGGGTGATATACAAATTTATCTCACTTCACCTTCAGGTAATGAATGAAAATAAAAGCTAATAATAGTCGTGCAAAATTATTTGTGCAATCTTTCTTTTTGAATTCTATCGATAAATGTTTAAAGCTAAATTTGTTTAATTTGTTTAAAGAAATATCGTGTTTACTTTTTAGGCACACGATCAACTTTATTGGCTAAACGGGCTCGTGACACATCCAGGACGGGTTTTAGAGAATGGGCTTTCATGACAACTCATAATTGGGGCGAAATAGCTGCCGGTTTATGGACATTAGAAATTAACAATGATGGATGGGATGGTAATATTTTCAAGCGACATTGATTTTAATATGACACTAAAAATAATCGTCATTATGTAATTGTATGAACTTGATTTAAAGACTCTGAACTTGTAAACATTCAAATGCAAAAATTTTAGATGCTGAACTGATTCGGTGGGATTTGGTGCTTTATGGTTCATCTTTTGAAGTAGGTAAGACAGGTGGTATGTTTTCATCGTCATCATTGATTCAACGTTCAGTACCCGGTAAATCACGCAGTCATTATAATGCATTACGTGACGAAGATTCTGCTGCTTCAGTTAAATCTGTTGTTATTACTTCAGAAATTATGATTTTATTTTTATCATTGTTTACTTTTCATCATTTCTTTGAAATGTTTGTCAGGTGATTGTAGAATTATCACGTGCCATTCTGAAGAGATGTGTAAGTGAGAATTGGTAGGAATACAGAGGAAAACTGATCTTGAGCTAACTCTTTAATTACTTTTCCTTGTACATACCACATACAAACAAGAAATACTCAAAATTAATGTTAAGGGCTATATTGTATTATATTAGATGAATTACTGTATTTTATAGCAGCGGATTGATGTGTAACACTTGGAGTATAATTTGCTTTACCAAATGAGCTTTCATTCTTACTAGTTTGTGTGTTAATTGTGTGTATTGTATTTGATATTTTTTCATGCTGTCTTAATTACTTCACAGAATCTAATTTTGTGTAAACTTCAATTTTTTTGGCTTTATTTGTCATCTATAGTGATTATTTGCAGTACTGAAAAATGTAGTGATTACTACGAAATACAAGTTTATTTTACTAATGGTAAGGTTATTTATGACAGAATATACAAATACACACCATCTAATACTTGGTAATTCCGAATTTGTCGGAAATGAATTTTCGAGTTTTTAGAAATGAAGTGAATTTAAGGAACTTTATAAAAATTCGTCCTCATTTTTGACTATTAAAAATTGCTAAAAATTCATAAAAGGTTTGATTTTCACCTTTTGCACTTGGTACTACTTTAAATTATGAATATTATTAGGACATCTAGTGTCAGCTAATTATGCATCTGATAACATTACCACATCATAGTGAATGTTACATTATAGCAAGATTTATTATTCTTGTTTACTGAAGGCTTGCGATCATTTGTAGTGAGTGAAACTGGAGAGCAGGACTTACCGTTGTTATTTTATAGTTATTGTTGGACCGGTTAGGTTAGTTTGATTAGTTTCAGGTTTGACTCAAAGAAATTTCTAACTATATATAATTAGTGCTGTTTTCATTCAGCTTTTTATTTTAATTATCGCATAGATTTTATTAGATCGGCTAAAGACGTGTTATCGTCATTGAATTCCGTATTTCTTCGCGGTGATAAAACTAATTATACGTGCACAATTCTGAAGCATATCCGAAGGTGTATTTTTGTCATATTGAGTTTTCTTGTCTGTTAGAGTTTGTTTCCATTTGCATTCCTTTTTACTTTACATTCTGTTAATTGTATGTTTCATATATACTTTCGGTGCTATGTACTGTTTTGGTCTGATATAGTTTTTAAGCTTCTGTAGATTTTTTTCATTGGGTTTGCATGAAAGTAAGTCAGTATATCAACTTCTATTTTCTGTAGTGCAAAATATAGCATAGAATCTGCCAAGATCAGTTTGGGTACCAATTTTGTCCACATTATATTCAGTGTTGTTTATCAAAAGTTATAAGGGTGTATTTATTTATGTTAAAATGAATCTGTACTGTTGCAGGACAAAAACTTGCATTTTTTAAACTTCACAATCCAGTTGAAAATTTTATGAGTAATGGTATTTGTGCTCTTTTACTTCTCATTGAGTAATCTCATTATGACTTTGCTACCATTTTGAAAAGAAATGAACAATTTTATTTTATTTTCTAGCAAAATTTTATAATTTCAGTAAGAGAAGAAAATTCTGCAAGTGTATTTGAGACTGACTGACTGACTGACTGACTGATTAACTGACTGAATTATTTATGAATGCTAAAGAAAAAGTACTAAGATTAACATTAATATTTTTGTACACTTTTGGCTTTTTTATGCAGTTAATTTGTCCTCTTTTTTGAATTCTTAAAGAGTGTGATGTCAAAGTTGAAATATTAGCGCATTAAACAACAATTTAATTCAAAAAAGAAATTAGAAAACAGAATTGAAGGTATGCAGTAAATTAACGTTTGAACTGTATTGACATGCAAAGGTAGTAATCATGATGTGACACGTGCATATAAATGTATGCGAGAAAAACTACAGTAAGAGCTGATTAAAGTAGCACTGTTATTGAAACTGGGATGCTTGCTGTTGTTTGTGTACTCGGGACTGTTCCATCAATATTTTGGATTTAGTTTCACAAATTTGATTTTGTCATCTGGTAATGATTACGGTAATATTGACAACAATAATAATGATAATGGCACTATCAGTAAAATGAAAGATGAAACAGTGGATAGCTGATTGCTTGAATTACAAAAGTCATGCGAGTTGCAGTAACAGTTTTCATAGATTTGACCTTCTTCACCTGAAAACAGGCCTAGATATTTGAAGCAAATATAATTCTGAATTAGTGTTTAGAAAGCATTTGAGATAAGTTATGAATGTATATCATGCACTATCGAACCAGTAGCTAAAGGTGGAGTATTTTTAGAAAATCTACTCAAAATACAATTCAGTCCTATGTTTAACTTTTCAAAAACGTTTAGCACTGCACTATTTTTAAAATAAGTTAGTATTATTGGATAATTTCAATGTTAAAGCTATTAGTTTTGTATATGTTTCGTTATTAAATTTAAGAATAGTTTGAGATTTGAGTAAGCAAGTTAAATGTCATTCAAATATAATGAACGATAATACTTTAAAATCTTTTGAAAGTGGGAACAAGTTTGCGCAGTAATGAATAGTAGATGAAAACACGAACCAGTAATGTTGTAACATCTAGCGACTTGTGAGCTGAAGGGAAGTACGTGCATGCAACCGCTGAAGCACAAAAATATAAGCCAAATCATCTTATGTATTATTTCAAAAAGGTTAAATAAAAGTAAAATTATAATAGCTGACCGATATACTCCACCTTGATCAGGACCTTTAACACACCACTTGCCCTCGCAGAATCGAGTTTTGGAACAGGTGGAGCCTTTGGTGATAGGCGTCTCGTAACATTCCATGCATTTGATTGTTCTAGATTAGTAGATGTGATTTCTCTCTAAACCAAATTTACCAAATTACTAAAGGCCTAGCGAAACTGCCAGTATTGCAACTAAGTTAAGCCTGAATTATAACCTGAAAATTGTTTCTTCTAGCCTTCTTACTTGAGCTGATGCTTAATTTCTCCATTTATCCTTCTAATTGGTAACTTCTTTGTCAACCCTTTAAGTATCACTTGCCATCTGTAAACTCTCTTCTAATTCTAATCTCTCAGACTAAATCTTAAATGCATTTTCAAGCAAATATTCAGTTTCCTCATCATCTCCTATACTTTTTGCTTTTCAAAAATATGTCAAGTATGGCACTGAAAAAAAACAAACAAATATTACGAATATTTTACTAAAAATTATTTCTCACCAAAGAATCCAATTTCAACTTGTAGTTTATAGCTTAAAAATTCAGTATATTTCTATTATTTTATCAAGTTTTTTAATGATAATTTATTAAATTTCACTATTCACATTATTTTCAGCGTATTATTTGTTTCATTATTTTACTAAAGTTTCCGAATCTATGCATCTAATAAATGAATGAATGCTTCATCTGAAGGAAAACTATAAAATGACTAATATAGTAAACAAGTGCTACAAAGTATGCTGAGAAACATGGAGTAGCATCATTTCTAGATAGATAACGAAGCATTACCTTAGTGGTACACGTGGATCTCGATTTTCATGGAAGTGACGAGTTTCGAATTGTTGTGATAATTGGAATATAGCAGTACAAATCAAAATGTAGACTTTCAACATTCTCTATAACAATTATTTATATACATATCTTATCTCTTCAAATTCTTCGTGAATACTTCACTTTTCACAGTACATTTATGCACTGCGACATCATCAAAATCATTTAAATAGCATCAGAAATCATTCGATTTAATTTGTTTAAGAAACAACAGGAAGAAATGGAAAGGTAATTTTTTTGTTTTTTGACAAAAAAAAGAAAAAATGTATGCTGTAAAAAGGAGATTCTTTGCATAGTTGAGGTTACTGTACATACCGTTAAATTTAGCTTCTACCTAAGTCTCAGCTTCTACGTAAAGATAACGTTTAACTGAGCTAATCTTGGAATAAGAAAATCTCACGAATTGCTTGCTTACAGTCCAAAATATGTATACCACAAAGGAATCAAAAGAAGCAAGTAAATCAATAAGTAATATGCAAGTTTTACTTCTGCATTTATGATTCTAAGATTCTAATCAACAATTATTTCCAAGAAATTAATAGACTCTAAATTTTTAGTTTGTTATTAGAAGAAAAATTCTTGAGCAATTCTTTAGACTATTTACAAATCTTAGGAATAAATGCATCGTATTTATTATTCATACAATAAGGAATTCACCAATAATGGCAAATTTTAAACGCAAGAATGCGGTAGTGAAGATGAAATGTACGCTTGCGTCAATAAAATAAGTGGAGCATGGTGGAACCATGCCAGTACTGTACTGTGAATACACTCAACTGATTTTGAACTCTTATCAATTAAATCTAGCAATTATGCAATTATGCATTTCGCGAAATTCATATTTTCTGTAAATTAAATTTATCAAAATTCAATTAAATAATTACACTTTACTTTGCCTAGCTAATAAAAAGTTATATTTGATTTGATTTTTGATCAAAAATTGATTTTATTCTCGGATAATAGAAAAAATGCATTACAGTTAATTATTTTTGTAAATACAAAAGTACAAAATTTTTGTCAAATCTGCCATAAAAAATCTCACTCTTTTAAAAAAATAAAAGAAAAAAGACCTAAAATGTAATAAATAAATAAATGAAGAATGGAAATGAAATGATAAATTGTTAAATGATAAAGTGTCATCTGAGACAAACCAGAATCATCAACCATAAACCGTGAGCAATATATTAGTCTGTGTCCACGTGTAGGCGTGTGTGCGTATATGCGTGTGTGTGTGCGTGTGATTACAATGTGATTATTTAGCAGATGGTTTTTGTGCTATAAATGAGTAAATTTTGCATCAAACAACAAAAAACAGGATGGCTTCCTTTGCCAACACCAACCACATGACGACAACTTTTTGGTTTATAAAAAATAACTTCTCAAAAGATCAAAATTGCAATCAACGACAACTAGTTAATTGAATAAACAGTTTAACAAAGTGTCGCAAACTATTAATTACAATTACTACTGTGTTCATAAAAAACATCCTGTGTGCATTAAGCACTTTATTGCAGACAAAATTTTAAACAATTTTTGCATAAAACTCGAAGTATTACGGTAGTATGAGTATAGTATCTGTGAAAGTTTTCTAGCATAATTATGCATATTTACAGCTTAATGTATGGATAAATAATTTGTGAAGCGTTGAAACGAGTCGACCACTTTATGCAATCAGTTAACTGTAAATTGCCTACTGTTTGTCAGTTTATTTCACTGTAAATCTTTGCAATTGAAACACATTCAATGAGCTTGTCAAACTTTAATTTCACGTCTAGTTTTTTTTCCGTTAGCATTTTTGATGAAGGAAACGATAATGTATGAGTCGAAAGCTGCTGATAAATTTATAGCAAAATCATCATCTATTACATAGTTCTGCAAAAATACTCAAAGTTCACGTTCGGCTGCAGTCAATTTACAAGCATTCGATCAGATACTCTAACGAGTTACGTGCAACCAAACAGATCTCAACGTCAGAAAAATATATCTGACGTAATACTAGCTGTACTTCACGTGCTTGATATAATTTCAAGAGCATAATTAGACAATATCTCATGCAAGATAAAAATATTTTCACTTATACTAGAAAACTTTTTATCAGAATATTTAATATATTTTAATTCTCATTGCTGTTTGTGTAATTCTCTGAACTGATTTACATTTATACTGAGGTCAAATCGAGGAAACAGGTTTCTCCTTCTAACTTTTGATCTTCAAGGTTAAAAGTTAAAGGTTACAAGGCAAACACCAAAGACAAGATACATTACTGCTGTGATATTTTGCCATTTATGTAAAAAGTAAATATATGTCATATTAATTTAAATTATACTTCCTTATATACATATATTTTATCCAAATAATTACAGTCTGTTAAGTGAAGACTATGCGAACTGCACAACAACAATATATCAGCAACTCCCTTACAAACACGTATACAATCAAACTATTGCAACCAAAAGACACACACGCACTTACAGCTATGAAATTACACACGTGCTCTTACACCGCAGAACGTGTACTTGCGTATTCAGTTAGACTGCATTAACTTCCATATACTTTCACGCAATTTTTATAAAATTTCAAAAATTGCAGTTGTCAATGTGTTGCAGCGTTCTTCCATCAGTTTCCGCAATAAAATTATAAGAGGCATAGTGAGTGAATAGTATTATTTTACGAATTCCAAAAATGTGGCTGTGGAGACTGGAGATTCTGTGGTTTGTTATTGGTCTAACTTTGTTCAATGCCGGTAGGTTATTGATTTATTAACGATGTCGGTACATTTCGAGTTTTAATTAATGGTTTTGTAGATGGATTCATAACTTGAAATCACAAATTTGCTGTGCATGTTTCTTTTTATTCATAATGGCCTAGTATTATTTGTTTGATATGGTAATCTGGTTCGGATTACTCAGAAAAACGGTTTATCACTATAAGTTATGCTTTTCCAATTAAGGTTCCATCATGGTGCGTGGAACTGATGAAGCTGATGGTGTGGTAGAAGAGATTTCTGCTAATCCTGATGAAGATGTGAGCTCTGTTTCTGATGACAAAGTAAGTTAGTAATAAAACATCATTAATGATCGCTTGTTCTATTCATTTTTTCATGCGATATTCTGCTTGAAATATCCCTAAAGATGTGAGCAGAACAAGCGACTGCTTGAAATGTAAAAGCAGTAAGAACTAAAATTACAATGGTACTAAAATACTTGGATTATAAAAAATCTCAACTTATTTGCATCCTTTCATTCAAAATTTCATTGCACAAGTTCTTTGCAAGTTTCAGCGAAAACAAGCAAGTATTAGGTTGATTATTTGCTTAAATCACTTGCAGGTCGCTGAAACAGAAGTGGATCCTATTTTGAAGCCATCACCTGATGCACACGTAGCATTTATATTTGTCCATCCTGAAAATTCGAAGAGTTAGTCTTGTTATGTTTTGCTTACTACTGGATCAGCTGTTTCAGTATTTATTAATATATACTTTCAGTGCTCCATTTATTTATTTGTTCCAGATTTGCCTGGTGGTAGACGTGTCGAGTTTTTGATGGGATTTCAAAATCGTGGTGACAAGGATTTCATTATTCGATTTTGTGAGACATCTCTTCGTTACCCACAAGATTTCAATTATCATATACAGAATGTTGGTTTTTTTTAATTTAGATTTTCGTTTGGGTTGAAATTATGTATTTTTTCTGCTGTATTTTCTTGCCACTAGTTTTAAAATCCAAAAAAAATAGTTTCTTGACTTATATTTCAGTGTTTTATATCGTTAATTTTAGTTCACAACAATGCATTACAATCGTGTCGTACCAGCTAAACAAGAAGCTACTTTTGGTTATGCTTTGTATCCGCCAGATCAATTTGCCGGGCGTTCTCTTGGGCTTGTTGTGGAGCTACAGTATGACGATCAAGATGGGAAAGCTTTTAGAAGCGCAGTTTTCAACGAAACTGTCATGATTATTGAAGATGAGTCAAGTTTCAACACGGAAACTGGATTTTTATATATCATATTTGCTGCTGTTGTGGTGCTGATATTATTGGCTGGACAGCACTTCCTTTCTAAGGTTTTTAATAATTTTTTTAGAATGATTGAAAGATATATGAAAAAAAATCGGATATTTTTTCATGAAATTTTTAACTAGATATTCACCAATACTTCACATTTTATGGAGTAGGTACTAATGAGAATAGAAAATTTTGAACTTTAAGAATTTCTAGCTTACAAGAAAACATGGAATGGCAAAAAGCCGGCAAACACAACAAATAGAGGTTGGAACGAGTAATAAGGACGAAGTGGACTTTGAGTGGATTCCACGTGAAGTCCTTAATCACAGTAAAAATTTTAGATTCTTTGATGTGTACGCTTAACTGTATGTCGTGCGTCAAATTGTTCAAAATTTTGCAGATGTCAAACAAATTCATAAAGCTAAATATATTTGCCATTGTCAGTAAATTCATTTTTTCTCAATTTGCAGAAAAGTCGCCAAAGCCAGGATCACCTCGACAACGGAAACAAGCACAGCGAATGGATTAACCAAATAATTTGTTTATTCGTCCTTGGTTTTTAACAGTTATACTCAAATGCTAAAATTTACGAATATACATAAGTGGGTGAAATTTATAGTTTTCTATTCAAAATCTAATAATTATATGACAGATCAAACAGAAAGTAGAGACTTGAAATATGAAAAAAGAATTTAGCAATTTTTAGAAGAAAAGAGGTTCACAGTTTGCTGCACACTAATTTCATTGTTATGAAGCATCAAGCAGGGTGACTACTGCTGTTCTTTGTTATTTGTATAACATGTTTTTGTTGCGATGTGTATTTTCCTATCTTTTTTCAAAACTGTATGAAGCAAAATCTGGGTATTTTGTCTTAAAATAGTACTAATAACATTTTTTGTCACTTTGTTTATTTTTATCATCATTTGTTAGATTTTTTTTGTATGCAGTCGTCTTGATGATGTTTAGTGAATCTAGTAATAAAATAATTTTAAATGGATTTTATAGCAGCTTAAATGGTTTTCTGACCTAATCAGTACCGTAAAGGTAGTTTTAAAGCAATGGATTTTCAGTCCAAGAATATCAAACAACTAGTAAGTGATGAATTTCAGGGTGTGGAAAACAAAATGCATTTCTTTGGAGAAATGCATACCAAAACTATGGCACTTTTAAGTTCTAAAGTAGCTAATTATGGATTGCCAAATGTGGATGACGGTGAAATTTCTTCATTCACATTTTGTAACGAAATATTTTCAAACTAAAAATATCAACTGTAACATAACTGTGACTCAAATCAATTGCTAATTAGTATATTGAGTTGTATTATTTATATGAGAGTTGTATTTTTAATATGAGATTATACATTTTGTTTTTGCATGAGATGTATATTCACAATTGACAGAAATCAGAGACATAATCGAGAACTATATTGTTCAGCTACAACCTCACAAACTGAAGAAAACAAGAACGCGAATACTGAAGAACTCGCAGTTTCGAATATGAATGCGTCTGCGCTACTAAGGTCTGGTATATTATATTTTACTTCATTATCTTGGATACATTTTTAAAATTGACTCCTTAAACAATTCTTTAGGAAGCGGAACTTCTTACTGAACCTGTTATATTTTATTTAATTGAGGAATTAAAAATGTTAATTTTTTTTCTGAAAAATATGTGAGCAATATTTGTTAGCTATTTCTCTGTTGACTTCGTTTCCTTAGTTGTTTATCGGATTTATACGAAGCTGAAAAGAAAAGTGTCGTCGATGGATTTGTTGAAGAAAATGCTGAAATTAATTTGTTATACAATTGTAAAAAAACCATGGATCAGTTGAAGGAGTGTTACGATAAGTGCATTGAGGTCTAAATTTTGGATACTCTAATTTTTTTCTCGTACATTCATTGTTGAATCAGGAGCTAGAACTACTTTAAAAGTGCTCAGTTGTAGAAAATTTCTCCCGCACTAATATGCTTGGTATTGCGGCAAATCAAAAAACTCATTTTAGTTGGTAAATGAGTTGCGAGATAATTATGAAATGGTGACTGAACGAACATCTTCACTCCACAATGCTTGTGATCAAATGATGGCATATCAGACTCAAATTGCTGCTGGTGCAGAACAGATTCGAGCTAATCTTTACTATTACACGCAGTGCGAATCCATTATGAAAGTAATTTTTGATTGTATTTGAAAATAGAATATAGAATGGTAATAGTAAAAATCGTTTAGTTCATTGAGAAATGAAACAAATGTATTTTTGATTTCTTCTGTTTGTCAATTTTTATTGATGAATGTTTCAGAAACTGAATAATGAAAAGTTTGCAATTACGGGTCAGGTTTTTACTCAAATTTTATCTACAATAGATGAGTGTTTGAAGTTTCTGCGCAGTCATATTCACTACAAAGAGTCGGCGGTCCATATTTCAAAATATGAACAGTGTTTATCAAAGTTATTTTTGCATTTTTCTTTATATGTTTTATGGTGTTAAATATTATTTTAAGGAAGAATTATATGTTAACTGTAGTGTCAGACGAACCGTGGCACACAAATATTAGTTTTTTAAACTGCTTGCAACATTACTTACATTCATGGTTACTCTTATATCTCTAATAAAAATTTAGGGCAATGACAGTAATCAAAATGGGTGTAATAGCCGATTTGGAAGCGAGCCACAGTGCTGTAAAGGATAAAAACATGCAGTTGGACGTTGATAGTATGTTCCTTATCTTAAAATTTAATAATTTAAACTCGATTTTATGCATGTCGTTATTATTTATTGTAGTTCATCAAAATGCTTATGCGGATGATGATACTTTCGCACTGCTATATGGTGTTTTCGCTGCCCGTGCCAACTCAGTTCGATCAGCGCTCAGTGTCGCAGAACGCCATTTTCGAGATGTTGCAGCATTTCAATTGATGGTATCTGACTGTCAACAAGTTTACTTCACAATACGAAATCAAATGCTTGAACCCGTAATAAGAAGTACAATCACGGATCTAATGAGGTTTGATTTCATGATATAAGCCTTACAAAAAGATATTTTTTCGATCATAATTTGAAACTTGGTTTCAATAAAGCCTTTATCAGCATTTATGGACTCCTCTGAGGATTTTGCACCCACATTTTATACGTTTTCATCTTACAGTAAGCATGGTAGTAGCTCGTGCTCATTCACTCGAACTGGTTGCTCGTTTTTACTTCGCCTTTGTGATGATGAATTTCGTCTCTACAAACAGTTCTTCTCTACGAATGGTAAGTGCAGTGGCTCCATATTAAATCATAAATAATTTGTGAGATTGATTTATTCAGAAGACATTTTCTTATTTTATGTGTATTATTTATAGATGAAGAAGGCAGTGGCTCTCGATCTGTCTCAGCTTCAGTCGTATCAAGTCCACATGCATCAGTTTTAGCTCCATTTCTCTCATCGACTACATCTTTTGATGATTTCATTGAATCTTTGTGTCATATTTTTTACGATATTTTACGTCCTATCGTTATACATAATCCACACCTGGAAACTCTCACTGAACTATGCACAATTTTAAAAGTCATTTTTTAGCGTATTGATTCCCAGAAATTATTATCAAACTTTTGAAAAAAAGTGTGGAAATAACTAAAAGGATGTCATGCATGTTCACATGAATTTTTTTATTTGGAGGTCGAAATGATTGAAGAACGTTGTGGATTAATGCAGTCCATGATGTCCGTGAAACAATTAATGGGTGAAGCAGATTCTGGATCAGTGTTGTTGAATAATTCCGATGAGTATGTGTCAAATTCTCGTAACGGTTTTGTTCGTATTATGTCCGAATTAGTTGGTGATGTAGCTGAAAGAATTGTTTATCGGTAAGTATTGTAATAATTGCTGTTTTACGTTGTAAATATTAAATGTATTTTACCTATTCTGTTTTTGACGCTATGAAATTACATTACTTTATTGTCAATCAATTCCTGATCTTTTGGCATCGTTTCAGTGCCTGCTTATTTGCTCAGTCAGACATAATTAGTTTTGTTCCATCCAGTGGAGATCTTGCTTATCCGGAAAAACTAGAAATGATAAGAGAGATCGAGAGAGAACATAGTTTGAAGAAGGTTTCTTTTTTATTACGACTATGACTAAATTACTTCGATTTAAGGAATAATTTTTTATGAAAAAATTAAACAAAAAGGATTTTTTAGGATGATGCAAATTCAAATTCATCTATTTCTGCCATTGATCTTCATTGCTTGTGGTATCCAACCGTGCGTCGCACTGTACTTTGTCTTTCAAAATTATTCAGATGTTTAGAGGTATTATTATTTCAGTTAATTTCTAAAATTCATGAATAATTACTATGCAAATCCATATAATTTGCGTCAATTTTTATTTATCCCTTCAGTTAAAAACTGTTAATTTTTCAGCAGTCAGTGTTTCAAAGTATTGCACGAGAGTTATTGTCAGCATGTTGTCAGTCACTGGAAAATGCAGCCGAACAAATTCGAAATAGTTCTCTTGAAAAGTTTTCGCGTTCGCGACGTTCTTTAGATGCTGAGTTGTTCATCGTGAAGCACTTGTTAATACTGCGAGAACAAACAAGTCCTTATAGAGTGGTTGTGTCACCTGGTATATTTAAATCAAAATCTATTTTCATTTTCTGTAGACAAGTGTTTTATGCAAAAAGATCTTAGAATGAAAATTAATATGGTTGTGGATTTGCAAATGTAATTCAAAGGATTTAAGAGTAAATGTTTTTTTAACCTATTTTTTTTCCACATTTATTAATATAAATATTTGAATGGGGTTTTAAAGTTTTTAAATGGATTCAGAAGTTATAAGAATCAATTGATGAAAAATATTTTAGGCCTGGATTGCTTTTATATCAAATCAGGCAATTTTCGACTGTATTTTTAGGTCTTTATCACGATTTTTATTCTTATTATAAATAAGCTCATAGGGATTAGTCAAAGTGCCTAATAAGTTTTGCAGGAAGTTCATTCTCTGATGCTATCCCTGTGCGTGATTACTCCCTCGACTTTAGCAAATACAAAAATTCTGCTTCACAGCTTTTTCAAGACTCACGCAGATGGTTCGAGCTGACGTCAAATAATATTTTTCTAGAGTTTTTATTAAAGGTAATAATGTCATCATCAGTAATACCAGCATTATGGAATCGTTGTAATCCCAACTGCGGGGTTTTTTGTACTGATCTAAGGTACTGAAATCTCCATTATATGTGATTTAATAAGCTAGCAAGATTTTCGCGTACTTTTATGTTTCTAGGTTCCGTTAGCTGTTACAGAAGTAACTGGAGATAGTCGGCGAATCATTGACTCGCAGTTGAAAACTCATTGCCACAGTTTGATAAATATAGCTGGTGATATGATCATTTTAGAATTTGCTAATTATATTGCCGAAGCCGAGAAAATGGTGGGTCTTTTTGCAGAACCTAATTTTCAGATGGAGATTTGCTTTTTTTTAATCGATTTCGCCGATCGTTCAAACTCCAAGTAGCCATTTTTGCAGGTGACCGCATCTAATTCTGATCTTTCGAAAAATGATTTTCTAAAAGCAAACAACATGCAAGATTTTGTTGGTCAGGCAAACAAAAATTTAACACATTTATGGCCAGAGGTAAATCCTTAGATCTCAGGTTATATTTGTACTTTCATGTTATTTTCTATTCTTGTAACTATTTTATACCGCAAATAATGATTTGTTCAGCTAAAATTCATTTCAGATTAAAAAGTGTATTAATTTATATATCGGTATGAAAGAAACTGAAGACGTTCTTTTACAACCAGTTAAAAAGCGAATAATTGATGTAAGTTTATTTCTGAATAGTGATGTTGCATTTTTGAAAAGTGAAATAGCTATTTATAATTGTTTTATTTTGTTTACTGCTATTTGATGGTGTTTTTAAGGTTTTCACTCGTGCTGGTGTCGTAGCTGATAAACTTTATGATGAGGAACAAAAACAAATAGCAGGGCTTCCCACTCAAGAACATATATGGTTGTTGATAAATGCTTGATATCTATTTTTAATTAACATTCCTATCACAAGCTGTAAAGTTTCTGTGTTTATGTGTGCAGTTTAACTTCATAAAGAATTTACAAATTTCTTACTGCTTATCGCACCATCTTTCTTGTTAAATAAACGGAGTTATTAATTAATAAGTTTTATTTATTTGGAAAAAAAGACAAATTATATGAGTACCTGACACTGTAGTTAAAAGAAGACAAATTAAAATATTGCACAATTTTTATAAGAATATATAAATTTTGCTGAAAAAATGAGATATATTTTTCGCATTGAAATATTTGTCCTTTAATGTGCAATATTAACCAATAAGCGTAGGATTTGCTCTATTCTGCAGCAACCTATCTATAATATCACGGTGATCAATGTTGGCGTAATTAATGTGAGGCAGCACTTGACCATAATTAATTTGAACGTCGTTGAAACGATCAAAAAAGTGTTGTTTAAATGGGAATCGTTCATCGCTAGACGGGATAGGGAGACTAATTCGAGAGTGATGTACATCAACTACTTCTTTAGTTACGAATTCAATCTCCTTCTGATTTTTATCTTCATGGTGTCCTTTATGCTCGCCATGACCTTCTTCTACTTCCTCTTCCTCAAATTCTCGATCTAATTTTTCTAATATTTCTGTTTCGAAGTCAAACATCTGCAAACGTAACTTTTTAATGCTCACAATATCATCAATCTAAATCCATGCTAAATGAATTTTACAATAGAAAAATTAAAAGACTGTAGAATCATTTCTTGCATCTAAAAAACATCCTGAACTCACTTCATTTAATCCAAGTAAAGGAATATCAAGTGCTACTGCATGACTACGAAATTTGATGAAGTCTACTTCGGCTCCTACTAAAAACGCCATACCAAATGGCTGGTACATCCCATCTGTTTCAATTTTAGGTAAGTCAGCGAGTGCTTTGTAATTGCGTCGTACGTCATGATCTACAATTATACAAGTACTAGTAGTTGCAACTTAAAAAAAAAAATTGAAATAACTAATTTGTGTCGTGAACGAGATATGTTTTTATAGTTTAAATAAAAGTATCATAAATTATAGATTTATACCATTAAAAAATTTATTCATTTCAAAAGAGTACAGTCATAATTGTTAACATGCATTTTCCTACACTTGGGATATTGTGAAAAATAGTTGCACACCTTGGAAGTTGATGCCATGCATAGCAAACCCTGAACCCCAAGAATCACCAATATCGTTGTTATGTGCAAAACCGATAATCTGAGTGAAAGGATTGAACTGAGCACTTCCACTGAAGTGTTTATTTTGTCCAGGAAGAGATACATCTGGTACAGATTGAACCTAAAATATAGTAACTTTATTTCCATTACTTAGCACCCTTATAAAAGAAAATGTATGAATGGTATTATTAATCAGTGACACTGAAATTAAAATATTGATATAGCTTAATTTGTGATAAAGTTTATTGCCAGCTATGTAAAGATTTGGAAATGCTGGTCCTGATCGGTGATCAGACACTCCAAACGGCAGTTTCACTAGACCAATTCCACGTGGTCGATGACGCAATGCACTAATTTCTACAAAATTTTTAAAAATCAAGTCTGCATTTTATAGTTAAAAATGTCAAAAAGTAAAAACAGAACAAAACAAAATTTAAAACTGTAAAGTTATAAATATAAAATACAGGCTGCTTGTGTAAATGGTCAGAAATTGAGTACTTTTCGACTAAAATTATTGCGGATAGTTTGAAAAAGCCAAAAAAAAGGGAATTATCAAGCTATATTAGCACTTTAATTATAAAATCACAGAAGTATTTTTATTATATACTTGAAGTAGCGAAAAATATGAAGAAAATCCAAAATAACATATTCAGCAAAGTTGTTAACAAACTGTATCATCCATATAATCACATTGCCTTCAGTGATACTGCAAGCTTTACTACTGAGATAATGCACAAAAATAAGGCTAATTTTAGGACTAAAGCAAAGTTGGTACATTTTGAAATTAATAAAACAGATTCTGAAAATGAGCTGAAAAGCATAAACGAATTCTGTGATGTATTTTCAAATTTTGAATATTTACCAGTGTTTAAATACACGTTAAATATGGCAAATAATAATTTTTAAACAATAACTTTCAAACAGATGACTTCAAAATATAAAACAAATGAAAATTAATATTTGAGAATAAGGATGAATCTAGCCACAGCGTATTTGCACAAAATAGATCGAATAAATTATAAGGTCATGACCTAATAACCACTGTCTTGTAATTATCTGTTTATCAGATTATATTAAGTTATCAATACTTCATGCATCCATATGTAGAATATCAGATAAAAGTCATTCATTCCATCATCACTTAATATTATTTTCATCATTTTCCCTTCCAGTTAGGATTACTGGATTATTTATCAATCGACAACGTTCTCAATAATTAAAGTTTTTCAAATATATACAAATTACTTACAAAAAGTCTCAAAATGATGTAATGGGCATAATTTTAAAACATCAATGAAAGAAGTATAAAGTTGGTATAGCTTACTTTGCTGCCATGATTTTTATGGCTATATTTTAAACTAGCATAAATAAAAAATAATTACTGTAAATTATTTAATAATTAATCAATCGAATAAGTATATTGTGTGTTGGCAGATGAATAATAATTTGATTATCATTAAATACGTAAGTAAAGCGGGTAATTGTGTAATGATCTACTCCAAGTGGAACAGTTTTTATATAAATGTAACTCGCGCAATATGTATCCTTTTCATTATATATTATTTAATAAAAATGAACATTTTAGTTTTGCTTTATAAGTTATTCCTACTAATTGGAAATAGGGATACTTTTGCGATTATTTGTTTAAAGTATGATCGAGTTTACGACTTGAAGTCATCATGAACTAAAATATAAAATAAACTTGAGCAAAATATTTAAGTGAGAAATCGGTTTCACTAATCTCTCAGCTTTAAGTATGCTTATTAAAAAAGTAAACTTTCGTATACAACTGAAAACAATTATGAAAGTTTAATTTTAATAAATGCAAATTTGAAATTTTCATCCAAGCTATTTACTGAAATACTTAAAAAACAGAAAACAAGAATGGAATATTGTAAGAGTGTATATTTATATTATAGCATCAAAAATTAAGATATAAAAATTAAGCAAGTTCAATTTTAATGATTTGAATAGTATCTAAGTAAATATATTTATTACTTACTGTGTCCTACCATTGTTGTATTTCTGAAAGTTCGAACATTTTCTATAAGCAAATTATATTACAATATAAGTCATTACTGTAATGATTTGTTTAACTTAATTAAAACGTATATAAAAACAACTTTGTTCTAGCAATTAATGGAAAGAGAATGTTGTTCAAAAATAATAATCACGCCACAATATCCATGCTCACCACCACCTGAAAGAAAACCAGAAAGAAAAACTGTTCGTAAGACGAAAACAGGCAAGCATAAAAATAATCAGAGTATTATCAAATGTTTTGCTTATTAATTACTATTTCAAGTTATCTATTTCAGATTATCTCAGCAGGCGAATAATCGCAAGTAATATCAGGTTAACTTTCATTTTTAATACTACTTTTATTGCTTGAATTAAAATCAATTATGTCATTTCAATTAATCACCATAAGGAAAAATGCTTCAAAATTAATAATTGTTTTTGTGCTTTAAAATAATTGCTGACTGCTTGACATGTAGCACAAACACGATAAATGAAGTAAGAAACTGCCTGATTTGTTCAGAATGAGTCATAAACTGGACCCTTTCATAAGTTTTTGGGATATGGATTCAGATGCAGGAGATCCTAATCAATACAGTGCTCCGTGGTATTACCTTAGCACTAACTGCATTGGTTCTCAACAAGAGGTTATTTACTTTATTTTCTTTCAGATTACAGTCATAAAGTTTACTCAATAGAATTACAAAAAAAAATAGGAAAAAATAAATATGCCTGTGCGGATAGTCAGTTTTAAATGCAATTTTTTTGAAACAAAAAATTTAAAATATGCTTTCTTCTACAACAATTTCAGATATGGCAAGAATTATGTCGATCTGAAACTGAATTATACCAAACATACAATTTAAAAGAGACAAAACTGGATAATATCAGAATCAAATCACGAAGTCTAGCAATTATAGAGATGATGAAAGTAATAGCAATTTTAAGAACTATTTATTATGCATTTTATTTATTTACACAGATAGACAATATACACATGTCCATCAATATTAAATAAGTACGATAATGATTAAGGTAATTTTAGTTTATTGGTAGTAATCATCTAAATTTATATTTTGAAATGAAAATAGTTCAAATTACAAAAGTATTAGCTTAGTAACTGACTTGTATAATTTCAGCTTTGTGAAGAGATGAGATATCTTCGTGAAACATACCATCGTGCCTTGGACATGTTTGATCGTTTGCTGATGTTCTGGGATGTCTATCTTACACATCAGGACGAGATAATTTTTCTGGGCATTTTTGTCACCTTTATAGCTTCTAAAATAGAAGTATGCATTTAATTCTAAAATACTAGTCGAGAATTCAGTCTATTCTCCTCGGCAGTAATTTTAAAAAACTAAAAGTATCATTTGTGCTTATTAAAAACGTTTGAAACAGTTTGTTGCAAAAATTTTTGATTTACTTTGCATTTATCAATTCTAAATTTATCAGCAATTTTTTTCCAAAGAGTTTTACTGTCTTCTTATGATTATATATTTTTTCTATACTTCTGTAAAATATAAACAAAAACGACAAAAAAACAACGAGTAAAAATCATATTGGATTAAAGCAATGAATTTTACCATTTATAATTCAAGAGTAATAAAAAGTCCAAGCAATCGAAAACAGATAAATTTTCAAACAACAATGAGAATTTCTGTACAGAAAACGAAAGCACATTCACAAGGATAAATTGTATTACTCAAAATTCTGTCGTATAAAGTTAATACAAGAAGTTCAAGCAGATGTGTAACGGAAGGTTCCACTCACAAATAAGAAAGCTACTTGATATTACTATGTTTAAAAGCATACTTACTCCATCTTTACTTAAATATGTTAGTGTTGTAGTAGGGATATTCATTAGAACTTGTTTGAATTTATATTTCAAAAAAATTTTAGCACAAAAGAATAAGACAGAAGCTAGCCATGCGAAGAGAAAGATGGAACTTACTGAAGAGATTAAAAAACTATATCTTAAAATGAAATAATGACCAGAATGTTCAGGAAGGACGAAAAAACGAATGGAATAAAGTGATGAATTTTATTAGAATCCATGCAGTACCTATTTACGCTGAAGCACAGAATCTTATCTGTTTAGAACTTGGCATTATGCAAGTATGAAATATGCAATATTACGATTCCCTCCTTTATACTTTTATCTAACGTATACAACAGACATTTTAATTAATCAATTGAAAAGTTTATTAAGTGATATTGGAATAATAATCTGATAATTACAAACATTCAATGATTTGTGCATATAAGGCAATTTTTAGGCTTTAGGATGGATGTTGAGATCTGTAACAGCTTTAGATTGGGCAAAGATATTTATGCATACGTTACAAACTTATCACATCTATAAACGAAGGATAAACGTGGAAGTAGCGTGCAGAACAACACCAACAAAAACTTGTAGGAAATATGAAGGCTACGGTGACAATGATGAAGTAAAGTGGTATACGTGGCAGAAATTAGACAACTTATTCCTCTATGAACCATACGATTTAGCACAATCAATGCCCAGACTTGCTGTTGCGCATGTAAGATTTCAAACATAGTTAATTACCTTTTTTTATCTCTTAAAATTGTTTAATATTGAAGTGTTCTTTTACTTAAAAGTTTCAATATAATTTGGACTTTTCAGAAAGTATGAGATTGGACTGCAATTTTTCATTTAATTTATCACAAAATGCTGAAACAAAAGATACAAATTCAAAAATTCTGCGGTGGAAAATCTTTTAAATTCATTAATCTTAAAAATTGTACATTTACGAATGTATGGAATAAGATTCTGAATGAATTAACTGGGAGTGTTTTTCGTGTACTGATTTTCGCAATCATTATTGAGATTTTGGATCTTTCTACCGCGGATTATGAGAGGTTTAAGTTCACAAATCGTGAGCTTGGAGCAGCCACAGTTAAATGGGTATTTGGACTGGATGATAGTTTAACTCAGACACTTACAGGTAAGTATAGGTAATGAGTACAAGTATAATTAATCTCTTTTTTATTGCACAGAAATAATTTTTTGACAGAATAGTTTCATGCGTTAGTAAATTAAACTTTCTTGTATTTCCATTCAATAAGGATTATTTTATGTGACATTTTAGGCTTGACAAGAAAGCAGTTGCTTCCAGCGTTTAAATTTATTGACTTCTATGCAGGAATAAGCTCAAGGTATGCACTCAGTAGAGGTGTAATGTTAGCACACAATAAACTTGTAGATCCACTAGAAACTTCAGATGAATCGAGTGGTGAAGACATAGATGTAGTGGAAAGTGAACAAAATTTAGATCTAAGTGAAGATACGCCTGAAGAAATGCCGCATATTACTAGGAGGTTGCTGGATTGGGTAATATATCCAGCAATGCCACCATCTCCAAAAAGTCCACAAAAAATAACACTTAGACAAGCATTATTGGAGCAGAAAAAATTACTGAAAACAAAAAGAAAATGGAAGAGGTATTCAAAATTATTTTTGCCTAATAATGAAGTAGCGATTCTGGTGATAGATATTCATGCTAATTGCTCTAATCTGCTCTATCTTATTAGCAAGAAAGTTAATATACCTGAACAGGAAAGATTAACAATCTTAGACACAGAAATTGTTAACAAGGATTGCACTAACAATGACACAGCACATGAAGCTGAAACCGAAACAGAATCAGAATTAGCAGACAAGAGACGTTATGACTGGGAATTAATGCTTCGAAAGAAGATTAATTCCGAAGAAGACACGGTAATATTTTTAGGAGAGTATGTATCTATTATCTAGTCTTAGCACGTCATAAGGTAAAGTGATTTACGAGTAGTTACTGAAAAATTCGTAGAATAAATACTAAAAAGTATCTGAAAAGACGGATGAAAAAGTAAGTAAGCACAAATAATTTGATAATTTCGAACTTTTTTACAACTGATGAAGAAAGCTTCTATTGTTCGGTTTATTTACTTGTGTTTGTTAAGTAAGTATGCTGAGAGAAAGCACTCAAAATTATGCAAATGCATAAAAATTTTGAACCATTCATCTATACGGGCATTTTGAACCGGCATCACCATAACGTCACTTCATCAGATGACGTACTCAGATGAAACTGTTATTGCTAAAATATGAAAAACTGTAAACGACATTAATAGAATGCTTATTTAATTATTTGAAATAATCTTCTAGTATTCACCTCACACATCTATCTGTGCATAGTAAATGATTAGGCAGTGAGCAACTTCAAAATTTGTCTACAGGTTTTAGCTTTCAGAATGATGAACCGATGCTAATGACAAGAAAAAGTAGAAAGCTAAAGGAAAAAATGCTACGACTTCGGCTTTTTTATGAAGTCTGCATCTGTGGAGAAAAAAAAATAATCGGAAGAAGCAAGAAAGCTGCCAGATGTTTCTATGAACGGATGACATACTTCAGGTCTCTCGGTCAAGCCTACAACAATATACTTATCCATAATGATATAATCAAAGGCACTCATAACCGACGAGTATCTAGATCTCGAATAGTGGTTCCACCACATCCCATTGAACGCAATGAAAAAAAACTCTTACAATACAGAATACAGCATCACCCTCTTACGGAAGCTGCTTTTGTTAGTCATCTTTATATACATTTACATATAATTTTTTCTTTTTAAGGGTCATTCATCGACATTACGAGTTTCACGTCATATGCATCTTTGAATTCATTCAGTTTACAATTTCAATTAATTCTTTCTAATTAACAATTTAGGCTTAAGTACACAACGTACGTACACAGATCTGCTTTACACTGCCATAAAATTCATTTCAGAACAGTATCAGACTGATTACCGAAAGCTACAAATATCACAGAAGTATTCAAGCAAGTACACAATCATTCTCAGAAGCACTCTCACACGAGCATAAACGTCGACAACAATGTGAATTACCAAAACGATCAAAATCCTGCGGCGAGCTTGGCTTATGCTAATTCAAGACAATTACTACGTCAAAAGTTGAGATGAAAACTCTTCGAATTTTGTCCCAGAGATAACTTATATCGATTACTTTTAACTACCCATTCAATCAATATACCAACCTTTTGCCCCTCTCATATTTCCACCTCATTTTTTCATATTATGTTGCATCGCTCAATAAGAACAAGCTTTCTCTTGTACTATTTGATATATTTCACTTGTGAGTACTGAGCAAAAAGATCAGAAGGATATCTCGACAACCTGAAACTACCTGATCAACCAAACACACAAGCAATACACTAAATATACACATACACAAAAATTTCGAACGATTTTTTTAATACGCTTCCATAGTTGAGCAAATAGAGAGCTGTAACGTACGATTGATATGTGTGCAGCAGCGTTATAGCGATGACGTATACGGAAATGTTTAGGAGGAGATCTAAAGGAAAGACTATTTCTGTGACGTCAGCGTGAAACGTGTCTTCTATGTAAGTGAAGTAATACCAATTTAAGAATTTCTTGGTATAGATATTTTGAAATTACGCTTGAAATTATTCAGTTATATGGCTAGCAAGGAAACTTATTGTTAGCGTGGAAACCACCATAATTACTATTGGAACGGAAATTATAAATTACGATTATAGGAAGGAACACGTTAATTGGTGGGAAAAGACGAACTCATTATATATGCTTTAGATATATGCTTCTTTCAGCTCACGAATTATCGAGTTTTCATGGCGTAACTAGTCGGATTTTCATGTCGTAACTTAGCTTTGTGATACACTTCACACTTGTTTAATTATTTTTGTAAATTGAAAATGCATTTGCAAAAAAATAATCAGTGTATGATTTCGCTGACTAGAAGACAAGCTTACTTCAAAAAACTTGAGATATTTTGATTTACACTCTTCAAAACTTACAAATATATTATTGCAGCTATTTGTTAAGTTGTCAATTTGTTTTTCTTGTGGGGTTTGGCATGTTGTGAGGGGATTCATTCATTAATCTTCGATAAATTGTGAAAGTTAAAGGAGAAAACACAAATAATGCATAAGTGTTGGTGAATTGAGTTCTTGGTGAGCAAGCTATCACATTTACTGTAACTTTTATTAAGCAGTAATTAGAATCAGCGTTAATGCTTCCATGAATTGCTGTTGTTGTTTTTTAACTTGTTTCTAGACCACTTGATTAATCTCCAACTATCCAGTTTGTTATTAAAATCAAGCAAGTTTTTATTTGTTTAAATGGTAATGAAATGAAGAACGGTTTCATTGTTTTATCAATAGCAAATCTTCGTTCTTCAGTCACATTTTACTCGTTTTGTTGAAGGAATTACAAGATGCAATTGTTTGACGGTTTGATCTATTACATACATAACGACGCTTTAGGTTGATTTTTCGAGAATCGAACTATGTATCTGTTTATAAGTCGGTGATTCATTTATTTCAGCATAGTACTTGACAAGCAAATGAAGAGAGTCGTTGATGAAATCTCACTTTTGGATATTGTAGCTTGAAAAAGAAAATGGTGATGTGCATCTGAAGTTATCGACAGTTGTTTGTTCATTCAGTGAAATTCGGTAAAGGATTAATCCACAAGTTAAAAAAATATCGATCACTTCAGTTCTTACTCGAAATGCCAGCTGCACCTAGATATGGATGTAATTAGCTGTTATTGCTAGAAATATTTTGTAATTGAAGATCTACCTGTAAATTTAATTTTGTTGCTCACCTATTTTTAAATAATAACAAAGTGCAGTTGAGTCGGTTGTTTTCACTTCGATAATACTTCTATTTTTATTTTCACGTTTTTTGCAGTCGCTGACCCAATTAAAAAGTACCATACTTTTCTTAATTTTAGCTGCTTTCTTTTTCAAGGTCTTACATCCATATAGTAATAGTAATAGTATTGAGATATTTTCATTTTAATTATCACCGATTCATCGTGCTACGTTATTAAAATTATAACTCTTTTACGATTAAAATTTTCTTTTTCTATAAAATAGATTCCGTTTTCTATGTATTCAACTAAGATTACATTACAAATCGATTTTTTTTGTGATTTCTTTTATTGAATTTGATTTTTTTTCTGATTCTTTCTTAGCCTATATGGCATTGAATTTCAACTTCAGTGAGCAGTAACTGTAAAGTACACATTATAATCTGATGAAAGAAATGGATTCAGTAGTAAGATACTGAAATAATGGGGGATTCATATGATGAAGACGAAGATCGCTTGATGATAGATGATGCTATTCATGAAAGCACCCACTCTACTCAGACAGGTAGCGCAGAAACTTCTTCCAAAACTACCAACTACGAAAAGACTATCGAATTAACGACAACTTCTGAGGACGGCAAGTTGTTTTAAGAAATTTTAGCATGTTTATAAAGGAATAAAAGGGAATGTTATCGAATTCGTATTGATCTACTTATACAATAGCTATCTAAGTTCACTATTTGTTGGTAAACTATTTAGGTGTGGAAAGTCACCCGGTTGATCCAGAACCGAAACCGAATTTCTACTGCGAAGGTGCAGTTTCAAAAGTAGTTCAAAGTGTTCACCGAAATGATCGCTTAAAAATGACTATAAGGCGGACACAGAGCCCTGTTGGCAATAGTGGACAATTTTCTTATCTTGGTGAGAAACTTGATAGCGGTACGTTATTCTATAGGTCATTTCTCTCTAATTATAATGAACATTAATCGTATTTAGAATGAAATTCTGAGAGTTAAGGTTCACTGAGGCCGTCTTTATTGAAACTACTTGGTGTATTTTAGTTTACTCGGAACTCTGATGAAAATTTGAACTTTAAAATGTTTATATTGTTTTGTTTGCTGAGAACAAGAGTTTAAATTTCTTTAGATTATTCAGTATTTTTAGAACAAATGAATGAAGATATATGTAAGGAAGAAGGGGAAATCGATGATGAGGAAGAAGTGAACAACAGTATGCACATGCAATCAGCCATTTCAAATGTTCATCATTCTGCGAATTGGTATTTTTCGGTCTATGATTGCGTGTCATTTCTTTACAAGTATCTGCGTTTTTTGACAAGTTTTCGCAAATCAATTCCGATTTTCCGTTTTTCAAATCTTTTTGGTTTTTTAAAGCAAATGTTACTTTATATAATGACTTTAGGATATGATAAGTTTTGTTGTTTAGTTACGTCATTGTTCATAACATCGAGTTTGGCCTCTGTCTATGTTAATCACTTTACATGAAGCAATCAGAATTTTTCTGTGATCAGAGATATAATTCAGGCCCGCATATCAGGATGCTAGTGTTGAAGGAGCATCAACAAATAAATTTCGTCAAGGCAGTCAGCAGCAATTTGAGCATCATAATTTGTACAAGACGCAACATGCGTGTACACGCCAGTTGGCTGTCAGTACCGCCATTTCTTCCGATCTTACTTCTCATGGTAAATCAGTTATTTTGTTTATTCATGGTTATTGACAAAAAAAATTAAAAAGAAAGCTATGGTGTGGAATTAAAAGTTCTGAAATTCAAAGTTTCATATTTGAAATGATTTTGCAGATATGGTTAATGCTATCGGTTCAGTGGTGGTTGAAGACCACAACTCGTATTCTTTTCTCGCATCAGATCTTTCGCAAACAGAACTTACTTCCATAAGTGTATGATTTTTATTTTCTTTTAAACTTTAGCAACTCTATGTCTTGCTCCATTTTCAATTATTTTTCTATTTAATGAGATAATTTATTGTCATAGGAAGCTCTCAAACATTTGAGTATAGTTTCGAAAATCTTTCAGCCAAATTAGTCGTTTCTCTGCCGTTTCTTGCCTTTTCTCTTTTTTTATAAATGCTGAGGGTAGAATAAATTGACTGTATCTTAGTATAGGCAATAACTGTAGTCGAACATGACGAAAATATCACAAGCTCAATTCATATTAGAGTATAATCATATTTGTATTGCTTATCTTCAAGTATTTTGAATTTTCTCTTCCCTATCATCGAAATCCATACAATCGTATGAAAATATAATTTTATTTTTTTATTATTTTTGAATATGCTTTAATCTAGCTCTAAGATTGCTGTAAAATACGTGTTTGAAAAACTCTTGATGTCTTATTGAAGGAAGAGCAAAGCAGTGAAGGCTTAGTTAGTTTTGGTCAGAAAGAATCTGCTGCAGAAGATAATGATTCCAAAAGTACTGGGTCAGTTGTATGCTTTTAATTACAATTTAGTAATATGAAAATAATTCATGCAACAATCATACACTTAAAGATCTGACAAAGAAAGTTGTTTTTGCACATTTCTATGCACAAATATACGCTTGAGAAAATTCTAGTCATATATGTGGTGTCTTTATTTATATCAGTTTCATTTTGCTTTTTTAATAAAACTTTGGTAAATTTCTACTCCGGAATCAGTAACATGCCAGTCATAATTGATACGCAGTTCGAAAAAATTTCTCTGTACTTCAATAAATACAATTTTGAATGATGACTTCGCGTGTTGCAAATCGTTTGTTTAAAGATATTGTGCAACGCTGAACATAGCAAATAACAAGTCTCGAAAAAAGAAACGACGAATTAGTGAACGGGACGAGCGTGAAACTTGTCAAGCGTCTAGTAATATGGGATCCTCTTTGAGTACACAAATAACTCCTGTGAATATTGGTTCAACAAAGAAGAAAAAATCAGTAGGTTTTTTAACTGCAAAGTTACGAAATTTGTCGGGATTTATAATCATATTTACTTTCAGCTAATTATACGTATGAAGAAATAAATTATACTGACTAAAACATCATAGCAGAAAATCTCAGCTGTCTACAGTTGCCAAAAATTAAAAAAGTCTTTATGAAGCATATTTACTAGTTCTTTTCCAGTCTTCAGCCACATTTTATTTATTATTCAAAATATAATTTTACAAAATACAATTCCTTTCATATCTCATTTATGCAATAACTATTTGCAATAATTTTTGTCTCATAAATCAGAATCCATACTTTAATTGCATCCAATTCATAAAATGAAACTTCCACTGGTAAATTTACATCAGTTTGTGTCGTCAATTTGTGTCTTGTAAGAATTAGCCTGTAGAATATGCGGGATCGGTCAACATGTGTTGGTGTGAAATCAGTTCAAACTAGTGATAGTGATGTCGACGTAAAGATCGGCTCTTCTCATTGTCTCAATATTTCGGTGCTTTCAAGAGCGTCCAGTAAGTGTAGATAAATGTCTTTTTTCGAAAAATTTTTATAAGTTGCATTTTCGAAGTTTTCACCACATAAAAGTAAAACTTCAGTAATGTCAAACTATATATATATGTTGAAGAAAATCACATATGAAAGCTTCATTATATATGTGTTGCACTGCATTATATTATATATATGTTATATTATATAATATATTTAAGAGAAGCTTGAATAGCATATTTTGCTATTCGAACTTTTTTTAGAAAAAATATAATTGCAGATTATTTGTATTTTGTAACGAATTGGAATGGACATGAGTTGTACGGTATTCTTGGTGATGGATTACCACCTATGCAACATTCTTATATGGTTAAAAAGTAATTATCTTAGAGCTTTAATTAAGTTCATTATAATGTCATACGTTTTGTTTAATTAAGTTGTTTTCAGGAATTTTGGCACGTCTGTACCATCAAGTAGTGTAACAGCACTCGATTTGTTTGGTTGTCATGATAAAACAAATGGAGGAAGTTCATCAAAAGCGCGAAATAATACCAAAAGGTCAATTGTATTGATAGTTCTTGTATTCCATTTAAAACCCAATTATTTTATTCGCTTTTTCTTTTTGTTTCAATTTTTTAATGGGACTTCCCAGTATATAATATAGTAATCATATTTGGTTTGATTTATTTCATCTATTGTGAAGTTTCAAAAGTATCTTTTAAGGTCGAACAGAAGTTCATCGGTTTGTCCACCAAATGGATTTCCTGAAATTAAGCAGCCTGGAAGAAAAGGTTTGATTGGTAGCGTTGGTAGGTCTTCTAGCGCCTCAACTAGTGATATTCAATGTGAGTTAAAAATTGTGAAAGCAACAAATTTTTCACTTCCTTTTATGACATCTGTTCATTATGGGAAGTTTTTTAAAGTTAGAATAACCAACTTTTGTTTTATTTTGATTCATTAAGAGAATTAATTATTATGAGGTAAACGGCAAATTGTTGCAGCTGTTGGTGGTGATTTACCAGATGAAGAAAGGTCTCAGTCACCAGTATCGTGGTTCACTACAAGGGGTAATGATCCTATATCTGCGCTTGGCACAGATAGAGATGATGGCTTGACTCAATTACGTGAATGCAGTACCGCTGCTATGTATTTATGTCCGGTAGCAGGTTGCGAACATCGTTATGACACACAATCACAATTGGCAATTCACTATCACACACATTTTGTGAAAGAAAATAGTGGAAGAGCGGTAAAGTAGCATTTCGATTTTCAAACAAGTGTTCACCAAGGTTTTGCGGATTTTCAGGATCAAATGTTTTACAGATCTATGTTGAAACTATGGGTACTCAGACCGATTCAGTCATCACGAAAAATGTTGCAGTGAATACAGTGGATGAAATAAATCAGATGGATGCAGTCTCTTTGAAAGGCAGTTTTACAGAACTGAAAAACTGCAGAAGTGATGATACTATTCCTCATATAATTTCACCAAGGAAATCAACAAAAACTCTAACTAATCATGAAGAACAAAGTATTAGCGAACTTTTCAAGGTAGAATCAGTCTATTTATCTGCTCTCAAATGAAAATTCCGCGTCGCGAGTGAAACCTCGCTATATTTTATTGTTATATGTCTTGTTCATATGAAAGTTGAACTTTTATAGGTTGTTACGCAAAAGGCAGAGACGAGTACTAGTAGTGCTAAGATTGAGAATAAAAAAACTTTCACTACCAAAGGTTCCAAAAGTGGTCTTAATACCAACAAAGGTAATGACTGATTATTTTGTCGGGTTCATAGAAACTTATCGTGCTTTCTTATTATTTTTTCACTTCGAAGCATCATTTTCATGTTGTTATAAATTTTAACTATAATTTGAATTAGTTGCACTTTTTGTGAACTAGAATTCTGGAAATTTTTCGTTGCAATCTTTTCTTAATATTTCTTGACAGTTTTACGGGGAATTAAAACACTAGTTGACTTATTATTGATTGCTTCCGCATAAAATATTTTAATGGACTTAAAATAATAAAATTTTCAGCGTATGGCAATCTGATCAATAATAGCAGTGCAACTGATGTAAAAGAAATGCCTACAGCACTAGATGCTATTCGTAAAATGGTAACAGATAGCTGTAGTGAAATTGATTCTTCTTTTGAGCAGCAGACAACAACTGTCATTTCTAATCCCGCAGTAATTCCATCTACGAGGTTCGCTATTATGCATTTATTTGTTGTTGTAAATGAAATGCTGCAGTGAAATATTTTGTAGCCCTGTTTTCACTTCTATATCATTTTGTTACAGTATTTCTTCGACAACACCACATGGTGCCGCTGCATCGCCGGCATTTTCAGATATTTCAGATGACGCTCCAACTTTAGAAAAAGAGGTAGATAGCTTTAATTTGAATGATGAAAGACAGTTTGGATTAAAATTTTGCCGTATGAAAAAAATTATGTCTCAAACTTTTCTGAGAAGATTATTTCAAGGTAGCCGACAAAGGGGAAGAGCGACCATTTGATCGGATCAAAGAACTAGTGAATAGTAAAACTCCATTAGAACAGCTAAGGTTTCTTAAAAATAAGAGTCTCAAATTTTTTAACGAAGATTTTATAATGTTAGTAATAGTTCCAGATTCTGGAACTTTCTATTGTGCCAACTTTTAAACTTATTTTATCGTGATCTTTCTGCTGTAATAATCAGAAAATTTTTTGCAATTAAGTTTGTCTATCGAGAACGAAAAAATGGTCTCTGGATCGAAAAGTGGAGTTAGTTCATCTAGCATACTTTGTCCTGTAACTACATCAACTACAACCATCGCTGCAACATTGTCTGTCCCTCGAGCTTCATCAGAGACAAATCAAAGCTGCTTTTCTGATGGTTTAAATTTGTAATTTATTGTGCTATGAAAAATGTCCTCAATTTACAGCTTTAGATTCAGAAATTTCAGTTCATTCTTTTTCTGTGTAGTCATTTCTAAACTTTTCAAGGGTCGAAAAAAAGTGAAACGAAGTTACAGTCGCAACCGAATACAATTGGTTCTTTTACTTCTTCCTTTCTCGATCCATCTTTTGCAGGTTTTTTCTTTAATGTTATCTCGTATTTTTTTCTGTGTTTTAACTTAACGTTCCTTAAATCTTATTTTTCAGGACTACGCCACCCATCGGCTTTGCCGATTTCTGTATCAAATTTACCGAGTGCTCCTTCTCCTTCAGTTTTTGCACAGCCATATTTTATGCCATTTATGAGCCCGTCAGTGAGTAATGCCATAACTCCTGGATTGTCACAGCCACATTTGAAACACAAAATTCATGATCTGAAGGCAAATGCTCCAAATTTAATTGCATCTCATTCTAAAGACAAGTTAGTGTCAGTTCAGCCCGCTTTATTATGACTTTTAGTCACAAAAAATTTCAATATATGATTTTTTATCTATTGACTATTTCAGCAGCAATATTTGCCAGTCATCTTCAGTTACCACTTCTAGTTCTCATTCCGTATCTCAGGGTGGACCAGGTACTTTTCTTTAAGTAATGAGGTTTGGGAAATATGATTTTGATCTGATAGGCTAGAATAATTTTTCAAGATTTCGTTTGTTTCTTTGACTTCTTTCTACTTCGAAATGATTAAGATTAAGATCATATTGTTTCAGTGAAATTTGCTTTTTCAGTCGTTGGACTTTATCTGTTATTCAATAAACTTTTTGTCTTTCATTGTTTTTTAAAGGTAATATTCCAACTGCAAAGCAAGCCATGCATCAGCCAGGAAGTCAGAATGTCCCTTCTGGAAATTCTTTTGGTCTTCCAACACTTGTTACAAACAATGGTGACCGCAGTGCTAATGCTCAAAATGTCCAAGCTTCTGCGCTAAATTATATGCAGCAACAGCAGCAGCAGGTTAATCTTTTTTCATAGCTTTTTGGATTTGTTTTGGAAAAGCATGCAAACAAAGAGATGTTTGTAATAATATTACTTCTCTATTCTCACTACAGGCTTATTTTGCGCATTTGCAACAACATCAACAGTTGCAGTACATGCAACGATTCGGTACTGCTTTTCCAATTACGGGACCTCCGAATTCTATGAATGCTGCTGCACAAGCTTATGAGCAACAAATGGCAGCCCTTCATGCATCTTTTGGTGAGTATTTGCTTCATCAGTAGACTTCTTGTTTTTTATAAGGATAATATACCGAATGTAAAGCAAACTATGCATCAGGCAAAACTGAAATCTTATGAAAAATTGACTTGAAATATGCCGCTGAATAACTTTTTATATCCGATTTCTGAAATTACTCACAAGTTTTCTGCAAGAGTAGGAATCATTCTTCAGTCTCTGTCATGTATTAATTGTAGTATTTGCAAGTGTATCTTGCATAAAAGTTGAGCCGCCCACCTCTGCACTAATTATGTTTTCTATTTTGAAAGAAGCAACAAATTCCCTAAACGTTCTGACACTTTATGTGATTCAAAATTTTCAGGGTATCCAGGAATATTTATGCCTCCATCATTTCCACCTAAATAAGAAGACTAGAAGGACTTATCAGTGCGCAGATCAAATCTGGGCAGAATTTGCAAGTTAAATTGCTCATAATTCAAGACACTTTCATGTTGCCCATTACAACAGATCAACAGTTTTTTTTTCGTTTTTTGAATCATTTTAAAATGAACTCTTTCATGACAGGAGCATGGGCAGTGTCTTGTTTATAAAATCCAGTTAAAGAGAATCTCTCAAAACTTATATTTCTTTGATATGTTGGCAATTTTCGTTAATATTTTATTGTTTTAGTCATGTTTGGCCTTCATTGCTTCGTTCCTCAGGTTTATTCTCATATGTTTTGTCATCGGGAGAACATTCTGTTAGTGTTTGAAACCTTGATATTTCAATAGGATAGCTTTGATAATTTAACTGAATTTCAACCTCATCCAGAAGCAGAAGAATTTCAAACAAAATGAATGGATTAATTTCCCGTTGTTTAAAAATCTTCTGTTTATAAACTGTAAATAATTATAAATGATGATGTTATTCATGAAAGGCTTGGTGTACCATATTATGACTTTCGGTCTAGTTAAGCTATTGTGCAGACATGATGAATAGAAACATTGATTGGTAGAAGTTTATTTCTCGAGTCTGCTGCAAGTAAGTGATTTTTGACACCGCTAAAGCATACATGCGTTTTTGATTTTTTACTCTATTGTTTATCTTAATTTTTTGTTTTTGCTTTTATCGCTAGCGTCTTCGCTTTTATTTTTATCCTCAGACCATGCATACGTTGTGACATACTTTTATACCTTGTAAGCATGCTATGTTAGTTCTAAGTTATTGTCATTTTCAAAAACATTGAAAAATTGTCTAGAACGCTCATTGCCGAAAAGTTCAAAGGTCAGTTATGACTCGTCTTGCTCGTTATGAGCCTCTTGTATTTTTCATACTATTAGGAAGTATTTATAAATTAGTATCAATTTATCACCATTATTTCAGGTGTAGTGTATATTTGAATTAAATTGTGAATTTCTTGGTTGCTTTTGAAGTTTTTTCTATATGTAGCAAAGAAAGTGTTGTGTTTTTTATACAACTTTTATCATAATTAATGATGCTTAAAAGAGAATTAACTGTTGATTACTCTGTACTACTTGTACAGTGCCTCTGTTTTATCTCATGTTCTTAACTGTAAGTAATATAGTAGTAGCAATGATCCATATTGTTTCTGACATTTTTCTGCGTGAGGCTTTTACTTTTTGTTCAAAATATGTATGATCTATTTTATTGTTGAGTGCTGTTGTAGAGTGATTCTGCTATTATCCATCGTTGCATTGTTTCGACAAAAAAATTTAATATATCTATGCATGTGTCACTCATTTGTTTTGTTTGCATTGAAAAGTGATTAGACTGGTTGTGGAAGAAAGTGTTTAGTAATGAAAATGAAAAGTAGATAGAAAGGAAGACCAGGGTACTGTGTATTGTGCGTTGTGTATTCACATCAGTCAGAGTGGTAATTGAATTTATAAATGGTTGACTGAATGAAAATTATAATAATAATCGAGATTGAAAATATTATCAAATAATTAGATAGTAAGTATGAGGAGAGTTGAGAGGTCACCTGGCTTAAGTATACTAAGTTGCATAGTTGTAGTGCAAGATGCGTGCAACAACAGATACAAAATAAGGAGACAAAGTTCGGTGTGGAAGGAAGAGGCAAGTCGTGCTGTCATTCAGCAAACAAGCAAGCAATAGTAGTAGCTAGTGCTAGGCGAATGTGCCTGCTTCTTCTTTTATTACTACTGCTAATTTTAATATGTCTATGCAGTTGTGAGCAGACATGAATGCTGACAGGTACTAAATTGTTCTAGCGTACTTCTAACCGTACACTCAGTCAATCAGTCGTATTCAGATGTGATATTTGCGGAACAATGCAGATATTACTTGACTGACATATTATTACTCAAATAGCGTATGACGTTACAAGTGACGAAGATAACAGTAGTGAAGGAAACGGAAATAATTATTTATTTTTATAGATAAGGAATGTTTTTGTTGTTCGTTACAATGGTATAGATGGAATTGATTTAAGTGCTTTGCACAATTTTTATTTGGCGTGAAGGGAGGAAGGAGTCATTGCTGTATGCATTCATTCACATTAATCCGTCATGCTATCCATGCATCATCATCCATCCATCCATTCATTGTAGGCATTATCTTTAGCATAATTTTACGCTATTTTCTGAATAAAATCTTTGTCCTACTTAAATATCCCTCAATCACTCTACTACTACTTTATTGCCGCTGACCTGAAAGAATGAATAATAACAGTATAAATTATTTAGAATAATTATTTGCTTCTCTTGCAGTACTGCCATAAAATAAGTAATGAACTGATTTATTTTAGACATTTTTGTTCCTTCAAATTCTTCCTCTTATCAAGCTCATATATAATTTGAATTGTAACTATTATTATTATTATTATTATTATCATTTATTTGCATTTATTTATTTATTATTATTATTAATTTTATGATTATTACTGACTATGTATTAATTAATAGAAGAATGTGCTTGACTTGAATTTTCGTTAAACATTCGAATACTTTAAATATGTCAATATTTTACATAAAATCTAAATGCAGGATTACCTAAACCAGTTATTACTATACAGTAATTGTTTGTTTATGTAAGCAGTAAGCAGCAGCATTTCTTTTCAGAAGTGTCATCTATATTATATATATATGTATTATAGTTTCACTCTTATTGCTACTTCTATTCATTTACTCATTTTCGTCCTTCAGTTTTTTAAATGTAATTTTTAACAAAATTATTTTATCAAATTTACTTGTGTACTAATACATATATATTAAATTATTGCTGTGATTTGACGAACTAACTTGTTCGTATGCAAAAATTTCCGGATTTTAATCTGCAAGTATGAAAATGAGTTACTATTCATTATTAGTTTACAGTATCTAGCATATTCTCTTAGCATACTGTACTCTACTTTACTTATTTCAGAAAACTAACTAAATTGTAAATAAAATTTTTCAAACACCGAAAAAAACTGAAATTTTCTAGAGGAAATATGAATAATGTTTGTTAATAATTGAAACTTAATGGTAAACGCTTACTTTTTTGCACACAACTCTTATAGTAAATGATTATATCAAATTAAAGTGTGCATCATTACTTACTAAGTAAGTAGCTCACTTTTAAACGATTCATTATTTGATGCAATATTGTCCTTGATTTCATTTCAAACCCATTAACATTTTAAATAACCTTGGAGTGTAAATACTATGCTTGAATGTGAGAATTACCAGTACAATAAGATCTATTTTTAAGACTAGTTCACGCACACTTTTCTACCTTTGCATTTAGTCATGGATTTTGAGGTGAGAGAATCTTTTCATGTAGAAAATTGTTATTATTTTATGAAGGAACAAGTTCCATGCTTATAATTACATTTTCAAATGCGCTGACTAACTAAACAGGAATTTATCATTGTATAAACGAATTTACTACGTCACATCAAATAATCATAAAAGTAGTTGATAATTTTCACGTGTCTTTGAAACTGCCTGATAACTTCACGTGATACCTGTTAGGAACATTGTGTGATTAATTATATGTGCAAATTTAATGTCTTTTAAATAATATCTGTCTTTTTTTTATCTAAAAACTTCATTTAATAAAATATTAGCCAATTTTTTCACTTCAAATTACTGTATTTATTGAACGTTTTTTTTTGTAGTTTCACGTTTAATGAAAAAAAAATCAAATTTAAATATTCATTTTATTGTTAACAAAAAAAAGTAATAAAATAATACATACACCTGTCCAATCATTACTACCAGTCACCAGCACCACTACCACATTTTACTCATGATTACTTATTCACTCGTCTCCATGGCAAAATTGACTTTACAAGCTTTTCTTAATGATTCATTCCTATTATTGCTTATTCATCCACTCACTCACTTGTCCATTCCACCTGGACAACTAGCCAGTTCAATGGCTTTTCAGTTTATTTTTCATAAGCGTTGCAAAAAATGTTTGCCCAAAAATTTCATCCTACTTGAAAGTGTTAAAATAATCGTTGATTGATTAAGTCACTGAATGATAATAATATTTAGTTTATGATAAAAGAGTGTAGAAATGATGATGTTTACACTGTACCTTATCTATAATAATTTGAGTTTATGCGCCCTGTACTATCTGAAGTACCCTGCTATTGTACTTACTTGTACAAAAAGTTAATACTTTCCAGCAATAAAATACTTTTTATTTGAATGTCAGCGCAATAGAAGGAAGAATAGATATGCATGCGATCATTTCCATTTTGCATATAATTGTGTGCAAGTGTCAACTTTGGTATACATTTATTGAATAATATTATGACGCTGAACATTACTTTTATAGTTGTATACAGATTTAAGAAATGAGTACACGTGGACAAGTATTTGGACGATTAGTATGGGCTCCTGACCTCGAGAATGGCTTTATACTCTGTAAACTTCGAGATATTGGCACGGAAACGATGTCTGTTGAGCCACTTCATGGTGGATCAATCGTAATCTTTTCATCTAATTTTATTTTGAAAAAAATATAAATATTCCCATCTCATTGCAATAAATATTCAGTACAATTCACTCTAACAATTCAAGCAAAACATTGAAAGTACTCGTTGATATGTTTTTATAATTCATTCTTATTCAGTAATGCATTAATAATTAAAGTCTTTTGTTGAACTTTTTAATCACAAGTAATACTTATTAATTTCACTACTGTTTGACTTTTCTTTGCTGACAGATCTCTGCTCAGTACGATGAGATTTTTCCAGCTGAGGAGGATTTGAAAAAAGATGTCGAAGACAACTGTAAGCTTGTTTAAAAACTAATTCTGCGCTTAAAATACTTCATACTTATCAATGCATATTCATACTAATTCTGTAATACTAGAAAGTAATTGCTTTGCAATTATAATGTTAGAATTAAAATATGTGCATGAAATACCTACATCCTATAAATAAACATTTTTAAGTTTATTTTTAAAAGTATTTTTCTTAATTACCTTATTTTAATTATAATACAATTTTGTTTAATTGGAGTAGCACACAAGCTTACAAACGAATAAATACACGCAGACAACAATTTGTAATGTTGTATTTACAGGCGCATTAATGTATTTAAACGAAGGCACTCTCCTCAACAATTGTCGCTTACGTTATGCTCGAAAACAAATTTATGTAAGCATTGCTAAGTATTATACTGTGCTTTTACTTTTTCATTACTTGTAAATTCGAAAAGCAATAAATTTTCAGCACACAAATTTCTCATTTCATTGCTGCACCATTACTTTATAATACTTAATTCTTGTTTTGCTAAAATTAAAATTGTAATTAATAATGTTATAATAATAATTGAAGTTAATAAAAAGTAGCAATTAATTGAGATATTTTTCATAAAGATTACTACCAAACATTTATTAACAAAAATGCTTGCAATACAGACATATGTTGCCAATATTTTAATCTCAATTAATCCATATGAGCAAATATCCGATTTGTACAGCAGTGCAACAATTGAAAAATATCGTGGAAAATCCATTGGCACTTTACCGCCGCATATTTTCGCTATCGGCAAGTAACTGAGAACTATTTTGTGGACTTATTATTTGCAGTATTAAAGAAGGATTGAATATTTGAAAGCTAGAATAGTAGGATTAGCTAGATATTACTTGATTTAATCCAATGCTTTTCCCATAAGTAACAGATAAATCTTTTTAGTATATTATCAGACTATCTTAGTTAACGCTAGTGAAATGTTTGAAAATTAAATCAAATTAAATTATGCTATTAAATTTTATTTTACTTCAAAAATAAAACAAAAATTAGCATTACAGCTGACAGTGCTTATCGTGATATGAAACGAACTAGACAAAGTCAGTCAATTATTGTTTCTGGTGAATCAGGAGCTGGTAAAACAGAATCTCAAAAATGCATTCTGCGCTATCTTTGTGAATCATGGGGTTCTACTGCTGGGCCAATTGAACAACGAATACTAGAAAGTAATTGATTATTTTCGTGACCTTCAATTTTATTACTAAAATATATTTGCAAGCAGTAAAATATTTTTATTACTTATTAATTGCTGAATTTGCGCAAAATTGTATTAGTAAGTAAAATTTAATTATTACAGCGAATCCTATATTGGAGGCATTTGGTAATGCAAAAACACTTCGCAACAATAACAGCAGCCGATTTGGCAAATTCGTCGAAATACATTTCAATTCTAAAGTAATTTTTCCCTTCCCTTTTAGTATTTGAAGCATTCATCAAGTTTTTTCTTCACTTTAACACTGATAACAGTTCAGTACTGAGCGTTTCATCGACGTAATCAACGCAACGTGAGCACTTACCATCGATGAATAAACGAGTAGTGCAAAGGATTTTCTGCAGCTTTTTTCTTGACATAAATAATTATGCAAATAATAAAGCCTAAAAAGAGTAAAATTTCAAACATTTGAGCATTCTGTTGGTGGTGGCTTCATTTCGCATTATTTGCTGGAAAAGTCACGAATATGTCGACAACTAGAAGATGAACGTAATTATCACATTTTTTATCAATTAATAGCTGGTGCTGATGAGCACATGGCCAAACGTCTTCATCTAAGACCTACTAACACTTTCAAAGTTTGTGATTAAGTTATTCAATTTAGTAAAAATGATCAAAATTATTTGAAGCACATACAAATATCTACTAGCTAATCATTATTACTGTTTGAGACTCAATCTTTTGTGCTAACTTTTTCTGTTATTCAAAAAGTGTTTGCATACTCAGTTTAGTATTCATTAGAACTAGCAAATAGTAAGCTTTTTCATAAAAATTTACAGTATCTCAAACATGGATGTACTCAATTCTTTACTGGTCCTTCTACAGCTGGTAAAATATTAAAGGATCGTCGAGAAGCACAGGTAATAATCATTATGCTCTGAATTAAGTGAAATTTATTGCTATAAATTGAACAGAAAAAGAATAAGAAGTAAGTCTTGTATATTCAGCTTCAAAAAGATCGCTTTTCAAATCGAAATAAAATATGGCTCAGAAAATAACAAAAACATTTTCAAATGTGTTATCGAATAGAAAAATGAATTCGATAATTGAATTTATGCAATATTTTCAGCTAAATTTGTCATGAATGGTAAAAGCAACAATTAAACTTTAGTAGAAAATAAGCGCAGAAAACTTTTCAATTTAGTATTAATAAAAAACAATAATTTCATTTTTATTACGTCAGATTTCAAATTATAATTTACTGATGCGTATTTTATTTTTTGAAACTTTTCCCTCTTACCTTCTGGATGTTTTCATGGCAAACTGTTATTGCTGTAATCAATTGTGCTAACTTATTCTCAGTATCAAGAATTAATTAATTAATTAATTAATTGAGGAAATTAAAGACTAAGCTTTTATTAACTGAGTTAATTGTCTGTCAAAACAAAAACTTTCAGGTAGCTGATTTGCATGATGAACTTGTGGACGACTTTGCTGATTTCCATCGGCTTTTAAAAGCTTTACATAGTATTGGCTTCAACACGCAAGAGCTCAATGCTATTTTTGATGTTGTGGCTGCAGTACTGCATCTCGGCGATGTTCATTTCGCTGAAAATGTGGAAGATACAAAAGGTACGCATGTACTTGTGAAGAAGACAAATTTGATACTGAATTACTGTCATCCCAGTATTAATAAATTATAGGTAGAATTGTAAATGCTTGCACAATTGTCAGTGTGTATGTTAAAAATTCATAATTGTCATTAAAATGATGTAATTGTTAAGATGAAAATTTAACAGGTGGATGTATCATCGAACCTTGTAATGAAGTTTCACTTCAAACTGCAGCAGTATTACTTGGCTTAGACGAGTATGAACTAAAAAACGGCCTGACTTCACGAGTTATGCAACCAACAAAAGGAGGAGATAAAGGTACCATCATCAGGTTAGTAGACAAAATTTTTGTTCTCAAATGACCCAGTAATCAAATTTTGCAACTGAAGTTTTTATTTTTATTTTAGAGTACCACTGAAACCACATGAAGCATCTGCAGCTCGTGATGCTCTTGCTAAAGACATTTATAGTAGACTATTTGATAGCATCGTTGCGCGCATCAACAAATGCATACCATTTAGTAATAGCATATCTTACATCGGTGTTTTAGATATTGCCGGATTCGGTTAGTTAGTCTAGTTTGTATATTTTTGCTTAGATTAAACTTTTCCTCGTTTAGTTTGAAAGCATAATTTGATCCTCTTGCTTTTTTGCTACTATTTTAAATTGTACTTTGTCTAATTTTGAAATTGTCTACTGGAACAAAAATGATGAAAAACTAAAGAATAATTTAGTGAAAGTAGCTAACACTAATATTAAGATATTAAGAAATTTCTTTTAGCGTTAATATTTGATAATTTTATTCTAGCAAAACAAAGTTTTGAAGTGGAAAGCTATGCTAGTACATTAGTGTTCGTATTCTTCGCAAAATTTTCTCATAGTTTTTTCAGAATTCTTCAAAATGAATTCTTTCGAGCAATTCTGTATCAATTACTGCAACGAAAAATTACAAAATTTTTTCAATGATCGAATTTTAAAGCAAGAACAAGAGATGTATGCAAAAGAAGGACTTGGTGTTCCACACATTGATTACACTGATAATAAAGACTGCATTGGTAGGCTTTATTTTGCTTATCCCTTCCGTTTTTTTATTATTGAAAACTTCAAAATATATCCTCAACATACTAATTTATGATGTGTGTGTGTGTGTCATTCAAAAGATGTAGAGTTAGCGTTATCTTTTAGTAATAAGCAGTAAGTTTCTGAAAAATTTTGCAGATTTATTTGAAAGGAAAATTGATGGTTTATTAGATCTTCTGGATGAAGAAGCTCGACTACCAAGACCTTCACCTCAGCACTTTACCTCAGCTGCTCATAAGCAACTTAAAGATCACTTCCGTTTAACGGTTACTTTTAATTTCACTACTTATTTTATATTTAATTTTGTTGAAAGCTGTGTAAATTCATTCATCTACAAATAACATTTAATAAGGTATCAGTACTTTTGAATAAAACACATCTCTTATTTCATGAATATACGTCAATGCTTGACTTTACTACTATTATTACCAATTATTTTTATTTTTTATTTAAAATAGAATTATTAAAGTTCATTTGGAGAATTTTGTCAATTTCTTAGTGATTTTTTTTGAGACAAACTCGTAACGGTACTGAATGTTAATTATTTGTGCAGTGTTTTTAAAAATATTTAGAGTATGTTTTTTTTAATCCCATCTTTTTAACAATTATTATTTTAGACGCCACGTAAATCAAAATTACGCGAACATCGAGAAATTCGTGATGATGAAGGATTGTTAATACGACACTTTGCGGGTTCTGTTTGCTATCAGACGTCTTTATTCTTGCAAAAAAATAATGATGCTTTACACACCTCATTGGAAATGCTATTGGAAAGTAGCAAGTGAAATTTTTTATTGCTCTGTTTGTTTTTTAAAATAAAACTTTGATTTTAAGTCTCAGATTAATAGCAAAATCAAGTTGAATGACTCAAAGAAAGAATTTAACTTGTAATTCAAACAATTCCATAAAAAGCTCAGGGATGTATGCAGTTTCAGTACAAGAATAACTTTCCTTTTATTTGCAAACATTTATAATTTTATTTTAGTTCTGCTTTCGTTCGGAATTTGTTTGCGATGGATAATGAGAAATCGCAGAAAGAACTCCGTAAGAAGACATTCTCCAATAAATTAGCTCATGCATCTGTGAGCAACAAATTCCGATCACAACTTGGTGAACTAATCAAGAAACTTCAGTTAACGGTACTCAATATCTTCAGTTTTAAATTTATTTTTTAGCATTTGAAAATTTTACTGTTTTAAATTTAATACTAGTAAAAATAATATATGTTGGCTATAGTTTCGCATTTTAGCAATTACATTTCTATAATTCAGTTCAAAATAGTTGTTCTTCCATAAGGACGTTACTATTTACTTCTAAATGACGCATAGTTTTTCAGCTAATCATAATTATATTTTATAATTATGATTAGCTGAAATCATCATTGCCTTTGAACTGAATAATTCTTTCGTTATTGCAGAATACAAATTTTGTTCGGTGCATCAAACCAAATTCAGAAATGAAATCAAATAAATTTGAAGGTGCAATGATATTAAGTCAATTAAAATGTGCAGGTATGGCAAGCGTATTAAAACTTATGCAACAAGGATATCCATCCAGGTAATAATTACCTATGATGATCAGCAGGCATTAGCAAAACTTTGAATAACACTCACAATTTTTATCAGTTAAAATTTTTTAAGCTTTAAAAAATTGTATTCTTATTACAGAACTTCATTCGCAGATTTGTATAAAATGTATGAAAAAATATTGCCTTCTCGACTTGCTCGACTTGATCCACGTCTATTTTGCAAGGTGTAACATTGATTTTGTTTTTTATAATTCCAGTTCAGCATATCTGCAAATTATATAATCTGGTGCATATTTTTGCAGTGCCTATTTCACGCGCTTGGTCTTAATGATAAGGATTTCAAATTTGGTCAAACTAAAGTGTTTTTCAAACCTGGAAAGTTCGCTGAGTTCGATCAGGTACAAAGTTTCAGCTAGATTTCAAGTTTTTTACAATGTTGAAGGCAATAAAGAAATTATATTGAGACATTTTTTGAATAATACATAAAATGAATCTTATGGTCCTCAACAAAATATTATACTGTAATTATGTTAATTATGTGCTTCAGGAATGAAAATATCATGCAGTATTCAATATATTTATTGTTTTTAAAAATATGGAGCATATTATAACGAAAATTTTTATTTAAATGGGTGTTGAAGTAATATTTTGCTAATTTTGCTTATTTATTTAAATTGCTTGCTTTTTTTCCTTTTTTATGAATCACTGAGATGTTTTAAAGATGCTTCGACAAGATCCCACTCATATGGAACATCTCGTAAAAAAAGTACAGTCATGGTTGCTTCACGTACGATGGAAAAAGGCACAGTACGGAGTTCTTTCATGTATTAAACGTACGGTTTTATATGCTTTCTTGTAAATAAATAAATAAAGTGGGAATAATTTCAGTATAATATTTTTTTTTAATCAAAAAATTTCAGTAAAGAATAAGATTCTTTGGCGGGCTGGAGAACTTATAAAAATTCAGAGTGCATTACGTGGATATCTAACTCGAAAAAATCAGCACCCAAGGTTATTTTTCAGTAACAAATTAGATTGATATTGACAAATGGATAAATAAATAAAAATATATATAATGCTAGTTATTATTAATATTTTTGTCATATTTTCAAGTTATTTCAATAGTATTTATTCTAATCATTCGAGTCTGAGTCAAAGTTTCATCTTCTGCTTCTCACAACTATAATTGGAATGTGAAGAACAAATATTTACAATTATCAATTTCAGATTACATTTGTATCATGAGACAAATATGCTTTTGAAAAGAGTGACAGAATTGAATA